GCCCAACAAACCTACCCATCGCCAAGAAAAGGTAAAATCTGTGGAGGTTTCCCAAAGACCAAGGTTAAACAGCGCCAGCTAATAAGTTGATTTCTATACGCGGAAATTGCAAATAACTTGAAGCACTGGACCAAAGTGCCCCACTCAGTTCAATTAACGCCTCACAAATCTCTTTCCCACCAAAAATCCAACAACTCACTCCAATCACAAATGCTACTGCTTAACTACCCTGTATACAAAATGTAAAAAGGGGGAGTTGGGCCTGTGAGTTGAAAGCGAACATTTGGTAACGATCGCGCAGTTCTTAAGAAGTGGGAAATATTGCTAAATACAATAGAGTTATAAAAACACTTATAATATGATATTTTAAACTAGTTTATTCAGAAATAAAATTGCAGAAGCACATTTCATCAATCTTTTTGTCAATTGAAAAGGCACCAGTAATATAGTCATATTAGGTATATAGCTAATAATAAAGTGATTTAAGTTAGTGTTACTTTAAACATTATTAACAGAATATCTAACTATTGAAATTATTTTATAGTACAAAATGTTGAGTGGCTTCTTCTGTTTCATGTAATTGGGATGGGAATCGAAAATGAATTGTCTACCTGACTTTTTAGGCATAATCAAACTTATTTCGGGTTAAGAAGCTCTCGATTGCAATGCGATTTGCATGCCAAAAGCGATAATGTCATAAAATTGTCAGCATCAAGGTCTTGGAACTGTGATGACAACAACAAAACAACGACAACCTGCAGCCAAGTTGAGCTGATTCCAACTGCTTTGACCTTAACTTTGGTATCTCTTATTTTGATGGTGTCGTTGACACTAGGTTGTTAATTTTGAATCAACTCAATGTTTTAGCCATAATTTTTGTTACGTCATTGTTGCTGCCACCATGATTCATTTGTTTTTGTTGCTGCTATGATTTTCTTTCATTGTAACAAGCATTTCCGTTTCGTTGAAGGACTCCTGATTGATGGATTGATTGAGCCATTGCTAAAGGCGAGGCGTGAAAAAGGGACAGGCGTGTCATTAGTAGAAATGTGCATACATGACGTATACGCAACATGCGCTCAAAACGCCCACACTGCGCCCCAACTATTTTTGTGTAATTTGCTTATCAATCATACGCAGCGTTGTCTATAACTGCTGCCCACATTGCGCACTTGAGTTGGCGCAAAGAATTTTTGTGTGTCAGCGCCGCACGAATTATGGACTTAAATCACAAGAAAAAAACAGCAACAGCAAGAAGACGAGCAAATACAATGTTGAAGCTGTTCTAGTGCCATGCGGAAATTGCTTGTAGTTGTAGTTATAGTACAATATGCAAAAAAAAAAAAAAAAAAATAAACACATAAAAATAAAAACAAAGAGCCACAAAACACGCGCAACAGACAATCAAGCAACAACAACAATTCATTATTATTATTGCCCGATGAGCTGCAAATAATTAAACACAAATCGTTGTTTAAGCTCCGCTTTGCCCAGCGGCCATCGCAGCTCACTTTGGTGTTCAGATTCGGTGGCATCGAAATCGATTGAATTATTCAGTGCCCGATTAGAATTTACAAATGTTTTCAGCTTGTTGCTACAAAATGCCATGGAGCACTGACTGACAGTCGACGAGGTCTTCCAATTTGCATATGCAACAAGCATTTATTGTGCGAGAGTAGCGAAAATTTGTCATGCATTCGTGTGAGGCATTGGATAGAGAATTTATGTTAGTAGCTTTTGCTTGTGTAAGTAAAAATTGTTATTTTTTATGGATAACAATTAAAAACATCAAGCAGCCTAACTTATATTTATTCGTCGATAGAAACTATTTCGATATATACATATATACATTGTCCGTTTGAGCATTTCACTGTGCAATATATATATATTAATTTCGAATGTTATAGATTTCAAAAGTTAATTCACATTATTGAAAGTACATTTATTTCCCGCCAGTGCTGCATACTTCATTAATAACTCATAAAACGCTGCAAAGTTTTGACACAAATATCTTTGCTACTTAAGCAGTATATATTTCGGCTTGGCTTAGCTAATTTGTTGTTCTTATCTTTTTGTGGCTACCATATCTTTCAAGTTGACACGTCGTGTTTACGATTTGTGTTTGCTGTTAGCGTCTTGACATTTAGTTTTTCCCTCCGCCTATTTCCCAAGCAGCGTCCACTATTTTTTGTCTTGTAATTTTACGAAACCTTTTTTGTTTTATTCGCGTGTTTTCGTCTTTCAGTAGTTTATTTTGGCTGTCGCAAATCTGCGACTGTTTCTTTCTTTTCGTTATATTTATCAAGTTGCTTGTGTAGCAAGGTCGTTCGTTGGTCCCAAGTTGTTGGGTCTGTTTCTGCGCGACGCCAAAGCAATTTGTAATGATTATTAAAACAACGGGCCCCACTTGGCATGGAATGGTTTATAGCCATGATACCCATGCAAAACGAGGCATATTTCTCTACAAATTTGTACATTTATTTCAGTGTTAACCATTCACCAAGCGCTTAACTATTGTTGTTACCATTTTAATTGAAACCAATAACAAAACACACATACACGATAAACACAAAAGCAAAAGGTACAAAAAAAAAAAAATAGCGATAATAATAACAAAGCAGCAGCTAAAATTATATTGGATTACAACATGACCAGTTCAACAAACGACCTACCCTTCCCGTGGCCCGCTTCCACCTCTTTTCTTGTGTGGGTATTATTCTTGAGCAATTATTACCACATTGTTTCGTTATATATTTGTGATTGAATATCCATGAACATTGATTATGACAGCCGGTCACTTAAAACATTCAAAAGTTCTATTTAAAGCAACAGGTAACAACAGGTATCAGCATTCCTATGCTATTTGCTCACTGCGAGTGAGAGCTGTAACACAAGTGGAGCTCAAAAACTTGATGTAATTAAATCTTGGAATACTCATCTATTTTGATTGGGAAGTTTGAAATACATCAAAATTAACAAATTCACATTCATTTCGAAATTTGTATAAAGGATAGAAACTGCTAACTGAAATATAGCAAACTGTCACTGGTGACAATGAAAATTGCCCAAAAGGTTGCTAATTTATCGAATTTAATTTCATTATGCAAAATAAATGTTTAGATTTAGAGTTGGCCAAATGTTGAGTAAAGTTATTTATGGACGAGAAATATAAACTAGTTTCATAATGCATATATTAAACACGACTGAATGTAAAAACTGCTCGACTATGAATTACCCTGAACATCAAGCTACAATCATAACCTATATCAATAAAGAACTGAGGTCAATCATAACAATTAATTAATTAAATTAAGTACATATTATAGTTAAGGAATGCTTACCGGACATACTTCCATAAACTATAGCTTTTAAAGTATTTAAGATGAAAGACGCTCAGACAGAGACAAATCTGTTAAAAGAAATAAGTTTAATGCATAAATTTCTTAAAAATATTCAACGTGCAGGGTATACAACTGGAATTCGGCTTAAAAACACTAAATTTACAATAAAAATTTAAAAGTCAATAAAAAAGATACTTTTGAATTGAAAATTAATACATTCTTTTATATTTTTTATGCAACCCGTTTTTTATTTAAATTGAATAAAACTTCTCAAATATTGCTCAAGTGTGAAAGTGGATTCGATGTTTATTTATTAAGTTGTTATACTTTTGAACTTTAAAGTGCAGTTAAAGAAAGATCAATTAACACTGATGCAGATAAATATCTTTGATACTGACGCCCGACCATAGGAAGAAGTGGGAAATTGCCACACCCACCAACAGCAGGCAACATGAATCACGCAATCAACCCATCATACGTAAGTGAGCCGCTTTTTGCATAGTTTGGTCAGGGGATTGAGCAAATAAATTGCATTTAGCCGCATGCCATATAAGACAATTGCCATAAATGTACGAAAACTAAGCTGAATTATGTCGCTCGTTGAGTTAATCAAAAGTAACAACAACAACAACAAAAACTGAAATCTATGGCCAAATAAAGCAGCTTGAAGTGGTTTTGTAGACAGAACGCTCCAGCCGGGAAATACCCCGCAGCAGTAGCAATCGAAGCACAAACAGAAACAGAAACAGAAACAACGGCACATCCGCAAACTGTAGTCAGAATAAAATTCGAAACTAATTCACACGCCCAAAATAAAGCGAAAACATAATAACAAAATTGCGGGGCCAATTGAACAAGCTGTGAATTAATTATGTTAAATTGAAAGCATCGTTATGTTTCAGCTTTTGGGGCGTGTTAGCCATATTCTTAATGCTCCAAACACATTAGCATAAGTGCTGTAGCTGCGTGCGTCATTCAATGAGTAGCCAAAAAGAAAAGAAGACTAGCAGCGACACAACCTCAGCGTGGAACTGTTGCCAATCTTCTGAAACGTGTGTCTAGCCAAAACACTAAAACTGCAACTGTGACTCGACTCGGCAACACCATTGCTGTTCGGCTATGGGTCGTCTGGCGGCTTTTTGGCATTCGTGTAGAGCTTTCGACGCGCTCGGCACTTTTTGGCCGCTTCTGCGGTTTGGTGCTGTCTTCTGGTCAGGCCACACCGTTACTTGGCCAGTTGAAATACGCTGCTTGAGGCGAACGGTTCTAGCGCGCGCTTCTTGAAGAGCAACCAGCTAGAGCTAAATATAATACTAAAACACTAACAGAAAAGACACAGCAGCCGTCGTCAAGTCGCGTCGTCAATCCGTTCTAAAGTCACGGAGAGTGTTGTGCAAATAGAAATACAAAAAAAAAAAACAACAACAAAATAGACAGCGTGCTAAGAAATAAAACCCACAATAGATTTAAACAAATCATAAAAAAAATTGGGAAAAAAATATAAACAGATAAAATAAACATATAAAAGATATAAACGTTGAATGATTGTGGGCGTTTAGCCAACTACAAGTTCTGAATCAGCAGCCGGCCCAAAACTTCAGTGCGTCGCATCATCAGTTGGGTTTTTTTTTGCTTGCTTGGATATTCGAACATTGCGCATACGCCGCATAGCACATTGCACGGGTAAGTGTTCCAATTGGTTTGACTTTTGCATATTTATATATGTAGTTGCAACTATAACCTTGACATTTAGGGAGTGAAAAAAAAATATAGCAATTTGTCATTCTTTGCTAATTAAAAGCACAGCACGTCCAGCAATCATTTGATTGGCAGCTAAGTTGTGCAATTATTTCTGAATTGGTTGTAGACATTGTTGTTGGTTTGTTTGGCGCTTTGCCGTTTAATTAGCGGTTTGCTGTGGCTTATAAATATACATATATGTTTAGTTTTTAGAATGTGCATGTATTTGTGTGTGTTGTGGATGTGCTAAACGGCAAAGGCCACTGCATATAAAATCCATGTTGCTGTTGTTGTCCGTGAATGTGAAATAAAAACTAAAGAGCAACAACAATAGAGCAACAAACTACAAACCACTCATAGGCATTGTGGGCATGTAAATTACAAAATCGAGTCTTTTGTTATAAGCAGGCACAAAAGGTTCTTAAGCATGAAATAGAAACTAAGCCAACGCATTTAATAATCACAATAATGTTAAAAAAGCATACCTGACCATATCATAGCGTACACCATACAAAGTGGATAAAAATTATTGTGCAGCGATTATTATTATTATTATTATTATTGCTGTTGTTATTGTTGCTGTCGCCTTGTCAACCTTCAATGTAAAAAACCCGTTTGACATCAACTTGGACTGCGTGTGCTTAATTTACACCCAGATTAACATTTGCATTAATATAATTTCACATTTTCAGTAACTGAAAATGTCAGACGTTCATTTAATTTTTGGCTTGCCTTGACAGAATTTTGTGCCTTTTAGTCTCAGTCACAAATTGGCGATATAATCTGCAACTGATCGCATGCAAAATTTCCAAAGCAACCGCAGAGAACACACAACTCCGATGCGTAGCCCCCGTTTGGGTATCATAGTGCCGTTTTTACCTGTGACAGATGTTTATCGTAATACCTCGCTGGGGTCTTTGGCCTACGTTTTGTCTTTGTTGTGAAAGAAAGCCGACTTGGCTTAATCTGTGGGTTCTTTCCTCGCATAAACATGTGACACATCCAGATTGGGTCTTTCGCTAAAAAAAAAAAAGAAAGAACTACATATTGTATAATATATTGTATATAATATATGTGCCTCTCACTCTCATTTACATGCGACCTAGTTCTTCAAGTCTTTATATTCATAAATACAACGCGTGTATAACTAAATCTTTTCTCCATTGTGGGATCCGTTTTCAATTTATTTTCGATATATTTATTTTAGAAAATCAAAACCAGTTCGTGTCGTAAGTCTTTCGCCCCTGAATTTGTTGATTACTTGCTAGAATTTTTAACCAAATTATCAAGCGCAATTGAATTACGTCCTACTTATGTCTTTTTAATGATATATCTTAATAATTTGTGGGCTATTTCATATTTAATTAGGAATTTGATTGTTCACACAGCTCAATTTCAATTTCATTTTCAAATTGAAGCCAAAATTAATGAACTCCAATTAAGCGTAAACCGAAAACCAGAAAAACACATTGGAAGTATCATAAAGACTTCAAACTTGTGTATTGTTATTCGTCCAGCTCTCTGACGGTCTGTGAGACTGTGTCTTATTTTGTATTATTATATTAAGCTGTAAGAGTTTTATATGCCACATATATATATAATGTTGTTTAAATTTGTTAATGATTTGCCGTTTGCTCTGCCTTTGATTGGCATGGTGTGAAAATCGGTTGTAATTTGTTTGTGATAACTTTATGATGTAATAGCGACTATAACTGGAAAATAAATGCAACAGCATCAATATATACTGTAGAGTGAATCATAATATCATTTACAAGTACGAGTAAATGGCAAAAATTACCATAGGCAAATTGATTGGCGATGAATGACTAAGTGACTAATTGAAATGAGCTGCTGTCAAATTTCAAGCATACCGAGACACATTTTTTCCAAGCAGCTTCGTAGAACATGAGCAAACATAATCAAAAAACATGCTCATATCTACATTGTTCTTGAGTGATTCTGGTTTTTTAATAAAGATTCGCCACTTGTCACAGCCTAAGAATAGCCAAAAAAAAAAGCCAAGGCTCAAATCGTGCACGTTCACAATATTTTGCAAGTAATTTTATTGTGTACACACTGAAACAATGCCGTCGCGGCAATATATAAAAATAATAATCACTCAATAACAATAACAAATAACCGAATAACAAAATAACCAAAAAATAACAAAAGCGGAAGTCAAAGTCGCACGAAAGCGCTGTGTAATTTTTGTCTTTTCTCTTTCGCGCCTTCCTGGCACGGAATACGACTGCCAATGCGAATAAAAATATTTTTGTGAGAATTCTCAACAGTTGCAACAGTGGCTGGCAGGCAGACAGGCGATAGACAAATAACTTAGCGAAAATATTATGAAAGCCCAACTCGCTATGAAAATGCAAGTGAAAATTGGAATTTTTAATTTTCGTGCCATGCAGCGCGGTCGATTTTCAACCGCAAACAGACGCCTGCGACCCCGCCTCGCGTTCCATGAATGGGATTGCCAACAGACACTGGCACTTGTCACTGAAGCTGCCACTGATATTGTTGCTGCCGCTGCGGCTGTTGCTGTTGCTGCTGATGATTTTGATGATGATGTAATGAGCGACATGCACATCAAGTGACAGAGCACAAGTTGCACATACGCCGCATTGTACTTGCCCCAACTACAACATCACACAACACACACACAAAACACAACAACAGCACCCACCAACTTGAGCAGCTGCACTCTTCAGATATCAGCGACAGTGCAGCTTCTGCTTTATTTTGCTCTGCTTTGCACACATAAGAATTGACCTAAAAACCTTAAAAACAACAAATAAAAAACCTTAAAATACAGTTTTAAAACCAAGTAAGACAGAAAAGTTTTTGAGGCTCTTATAAAAACAACGTGTGATTCTATAGTCGTGATTCTATTGGTTTCGATTTTGGTAAACAGAAAGTTTCTCTGGTAATCTACCATGTCCAAATTTTCAATATCTATCAAATCAACTTCAAAAACGACGCTTAGTCAATTTTATGCCAGTTTTTGTATTGAAAATATGTTTATATTTTTAGACTTACTTAATTAAAGCAGCATTTATCTAATAGATTTTTACTATTATGCCACAAAATTAGAATGCCTTTACCGCTAAATACAGCCCAAAAAATATTAGTTGCATATTTTACTGTAGCTTCTGCCATATTATTTTGACATCTGCACGTGTTGAGCGCCCAGCCAAAAAGGCCATAACTTCACTATTTAAGTACAAGACCCGGTGCTAGCAATGTCAGTTATTTGGCAGGTACTTGTCTTTTCATGATGTTGCGTGCCCTTTTTTGCAGCAGGTAGTAGTACTAGATGTGCATATGTACATGTGATTTGAAATTTTTGAGTTTGGCTCACATGAAACAAAAAAGCAACAAAGAAAAATAAGAAATAAAGTGCCAACTCATAAAAATAATGTTAACCACAGTTATTGTTGTTGTAGTGCTGTCATTGCTGTCATTGTTGTTTGTTACAGTTTCGTTGGAAATAGGAACAATAAGCAGCTCTTCCCCGCCCTTGTGATTGTGCAAGCAATTCACAATTATTGTTTGTTTTTCTCTCTTCTGTTTGTTAAAAAACAGTCTATTTTCTATATGCAGCTTTGATATATGATTTTATAAGAAATCTTAATATAGTCTAATAAATTATACAATTGTTAATTTAGGTGTCATCTGCTGCAAACAGATGATTAAATTTATAATTGTTTTGTGCTACCAACGGTTATAAAGTTCTCTAGTATCTCTAGTTTTTGGTGCTGCTTAACAGGAGCACTTTGCAATATATTTGCATATTTCCTAATCAAATTGATGAGCCATATAAAAATAAAAAGCCACAAAAAAAAAAAGTGGTGACCGCAATGTATAGAATGTATTTTACGCGAACAAAGCAATTGAATATAAAAGTCAAACTCGTTTTAGTCAGAGTCATAGCCGGACATGTAAGCCCCCCAAGACAATTCCCCCACAACAACAGTAACAACAATCAACGCATGAGGCATAAATGCGCTCACAGTTCAAGTCGTTTAGGTTTCCGCTTTCAAGGTTGCAGCGCTGCGCCAAGAACTTGCGCAAAAATATATAAAAACTGAAGTACAGCAAACAGAAAGGCGGCAACTGTCATACTAAGTTTGTATTGCATTTGGGTGTGGGTCCGTTGTGCCCCACTTTGGCCACTTGAGGTTGACAAGTCACAAAAAATAAGCGAGCGAGCGCGCGCGCCACAACAGTTTGAAAGGCGCACAGAACGCAAATGCAATTATTGTTATTGTTGCCTGCTGTGGCACATGCCAAGCGATAGTTGCGCAATTTACCGCATGAATCATAAGCGCCAATTAGACTAATAAAACAATGCCACTGTTTGTGCCAATTTGTGGCCAGTCAGCAAGTTTGTTCATATAAGCCGCTTAGCAAAGTCGCTGACAAAGGCAAAAATGACTTCCTTCTGCGCAGGAACCGGACGGCCTTGGGCCAACGTTGATGAAGTGCGGAGACGTAGTACTTTTTTACGCACGCCGAGAACAGTTTCAGAATGCACTGTGCTATAAATAAACTAACTGGTTGCGTTGCCTGCTTTTGACAGCGGCCTTGAAACAGGCCCAACTTACATAATTAATTGCAATCAAGATCTCGCGGCTAGGCGGTCACATTCACACATACGCTTACACTTACTCATAAGTGGTTTTAGCTGCCATGCGGAAAATGTGCGCGTGCAAACGAAAGACTTGAGGCACGAACTTGAAGGGGCAACTGCCATTGCAACTGTGACACACATCAATCGACAGCGCCGGCGTCTCAATTAACACTTAATGCACTCTTAACAGCCCGCAAAACGTATTGTTAGTCAATTTTGGCTTTGAACTGACCGGTACTCAATTTATTTAACTGATTAATAATATACAAAAACTAAACAAACATAATTCAATATTTGCTTTATTATTTTTTTGTAGCTGTGATGATCAGAATAAACGAAATAATTGAGTTAAAATGAATACATTTTTTATATGTAATAAGTGGTTAATTTCGATGCAGTTACCTCTCAGATGTACATATAAATGTGATCAAGAAGATGGCCAAAAGGCCAGCTAGCTAATTAAATTTCATGTATCTATATGGGTGTGTGTATACGTGTATTGGTGTGCTGCTGATGCCATGTGATCATCGCTAAAAAATCAACAGCACGTTCGGCATACAAAAACATTTTATATATATTAGCAAGACAAATGGCAACAACAAGAAGAAACAAAGCGGTGAAAAGAACGAAATGTTATGCGTTGTATATTATACAATATAAAACAGATGAGAAAAAAAAAAACGCGAAAAAAAATTATCATATAAAATGAGAAAAAATCAGCGGTTGAACAAAAAAAACTTTTGGCTTTCTGGGGGAACTTAATCACAGCACTCTAAATAGAAGATGAAACAGAGAAACTGAATTTTAAAATTACCTTCGGGTATTTTCGACCAGCGTAGTTTCGAGGAGTTTGGGGCCAAGGCATCATTAAGAACTAAAGTTGACTCATGAATGAATTTTGAACTTCGTTACGTATTCTGTTTAAAAAACAATGCAACTTTGTAATGGAGTAAATGAAGCATTGATTTATTTATGGTTTCTTATATTAACAGGGGGATTTTTTATGTGGTTAATGGAATTGAAATCAGTTCTTGTTGTCAGTCATTTCAGTAAATTATCAACAAGAAAACTCAGTTGAAATTAGAAATTTATAAGCCGGCTACAGATTTTGGTATAATACGTGACATAAATCAGTTTTATGGCCATTTTGTTTGCTAATTAAAACCCACGCCAAACCAGCAAATAGAAAGCTCCAAAGGCGTTGTTTTCATTAGAATTGTCTGATTTGACCGACGATTAAAATGCTGCGCGACCTGTCAGCTATTAAATGCCAAACAAAAATAGAGCACAGCTGCTCATTTGGATTGCAGTACGCATTGCGCCCTTAATTTGTCACTGACTCCCCTTGATTTGGGCCATTAGACGTACGATACGCACTCTTAAATGCTGCTAATCGCTTAGCAATGCATTGCATGGGTGGGCAGTAGTTCGAGTTAGGAAGTAACGACCATAGAAGTAGCTCGATTGATTCTCAGACTCACTTTCAGTTCGTGTGACACACATTGCGTACAATATATACTGTATCGTATTTATTGATAGATCACATTTGACTGGAGACAAATTGAATGCCAATCACGTGCGTGACCGCCAATACACCTGATATGCCAAGCTGGTAGCTGAATTTTGTCACAAAACGTTGACAATGCGCATAAGCAAATCAGCTTGCTGCCTGCTTGACTTTGAAACGGTTTTCAACACCACAAAAAAAATCCATAATAAAACCAAGAAAAACCAAGGAGGCAATTGAAATGCAATGCAAGTAGTTTTGCTGACGAAAAAATGCAAAATAAAAAATAGTGTCGTCAAGGCGCAAGCAATTACAGACAGTGACATTGATCATTTCATTTATATATACTAAATCATTTTCTATAAAATATCTACAAACAATTTCAAAATGAAAAGACTTAGGCGACAAACAGCGTAGAGGAAACCGAGAAAAAAAAATGTTGGATGAAGTTCATTGGCTTGCAGATTGATTGGCTGATTGCTTAATAATCTTATGGCGGATTAAAAAGTATCTACAATAGTATACACATAATTTGATTCCTTTTTCTCGTTGTACACGCTAGCAATTTAATATGCGTCCAAGATCTAATCATTTCAAATGGCGCTCGAAAAGTCATTCGCACCAACAGCGACGAGAATTGGATTGTTCTTGTTGTTGTTCCTGTTGTTATATAAATGCCAGCAGCAGTTGTAATTATACTTATAAGTACATAAAAAAAAAATAATAATAATAATTGGGAAAAACGCTCTTTCAGAATAACATAAATAAACATACGAGAATGATTTCGCGCCGCAAGATTATATCACGTTCCTTGGACAATCTGGACGCCATTGGGCAAGACGATCAAGAGGAGGATGTTTGGCACGATCGCGAAAAGTTGTTTCGCGTGAGTAGATAATTAAATTGTTCTAAAACCAGAACTTATACTAAATATATAAATCGTTAATGTAGGATCATATTAACGAAGTGCTGGCCAAGTGGGAACAAATTGATGATGAAATTTGGGCCAAGATAATTGTGTTCGAAAAAAATCGGCGCGTAGCTAAGGCCTATGCGCGCTCCAATGTGATAACCATAAACGGTTCCAAGCATGGCTTCGATGGCGTCCGGTAAGCCCACAAATACTATCATGCCAACTGCCTACTAACTGTTACTATATTTTCCAGAATTGGCTTGAACGGATTTGAGAATCCCATGCGTGATGCCGAAACAAAGGTCATTAAAAAATCCATTGGCGATGGCTTTAAGATCAAAATGGACGATACTGGCAACATATTCATCAAGCGCTATGGCAAGAGCAACATCTATGTGAACAACACTTCCTTGGCCAACGAGGAGACAGTCATTGGCGCCGATATCATGCAAATGCCGCAAATGTCCTTAACGGCCGGCACCTCCTCGAAGTTGTTTGACATGAAGAAGTTCCAGACCAACATAAATCGTGAATGCTCACGCAGTTATCCGGAGTGCAGCCGTTTGGAGCGCCAGTGTCTGTCGGCGGTCTCTCTGGTCAAGTCAAACAATAATCTACTCAATTCGCCACTCTGGATTATGGTTGTCAATGTGGTTGCCATGGACATGCTGAAGAATCGCTTGCAAACGCTGCCTAAATCGTTGGATGCACTTGGCATGCGTATTCCACTGACATTGACCCAGACCAGCGAGGATCCATATTCCACCATTGAGAGCCAAGTGGGTCTCATTTATCCCACACCAGCCGCCTCTGATGATTCCCAAAACTCGAGCAATTCCAGCAAGGGTAGACGCAGCGTCTTCAGTGCGACCTTCCTAAACGAAAGTCCCTATGTGCCGAAGGTAAGTTAGAAATGCGTGCCAAAACGATGGCCGCATATTATCATAAATATAAAATATATGGTACATGAGTATACCATGTATTTAAATATCTCGACCGACTCGAGTCTTTAAAATTTGAGTGCTCATTCAGACAAGTAGATGGCCAGATAAACTTAATTTTATATATAAATTTTCTGAGTTGAATGTTATATCCAGCTGTCTATTAAAAATATTTGTATCGCCTTTACCCCTTGGGTTTATAAAGTAGTCTTGCATCTGGTACTTATTGTGTTTTTCTTTCTTATACTAATGTAGCCGGACTACGAGCTGACTGCATCCACGCCGCCGGCTTATGCAGATAAGAAGCGTCAGAAGAATACACAGCAGCAGCGCAAAAAGCAAGATGATCCGTATTATTGCGGCTTGCTTGCACGCATACCCAACTTCATCAAGTCATCCAAGCAACAGCATGCCAGTAAGCCCAAGAAGGAGCCGAAGATCTCGCGTAAGATTTCGGCGCAGCATCATCAGTTCCTGTTGGCCGCACAGCAACAGCAGCAGCAGCAGTTGCCGCAGACGACGACGCCCATCCCAATAGCCACCTTCCATCATTCGTATTTCCCATACAAGCTCTATCCTCCGCAGCATCGGCTCTCGCAGTCGCAGTTGTCGCTGTGGGATGCGCGTAGTCTAATCAGCGCACATGGTAGGTAATTTAATCAAAACTTCTTTCACTTTCTCTAATTCCCTCTATCTTCTTCTCTTGCAGAATGAAACATTCGAGCTGGCCTTAATTTATTCATCGCCTAGCATTATAATATAATATTTAGTCAAAGCATACGTTTCAAATTTTGGTCAGTGGAATGCATTTCGCTCAGTTTTGTGATGATAAATTATTCGAAATGCAGCCATCTTTATCAGCATACTTTTGGGCGTATAACTAATAATACGCAATAACACTTACAGTACTTATTAACCACAATTAATGATAAGACACCTGAGATGAGATTTAATAATTATGCAATTTGTAATAATTAAAATTAAAATTTTGCCATAGTTTTTAAATCGTTTAAGACTGAGAACGTCCTAGAGTCGACTTGTGCACAATAAATAAGCGAATGAAGGAAAAGAAATTTTAAGAAATTGGCACATTTTGAAAACAAAGAAGTAAGTAAGAGGATTTGTTGTCATAAGCAGATTGTTTGCTACTTTAGGCGATTAACTTTTATTGTTTTATATCTTGTAAATACATTTTATATGTAAATAAGTTTGAATATTACACACTATGTAAACGTTTATGCATTAAATGAAAGTTTTCCAAACTGTTTGTATTTATTTATTTAATTGGTTTTAAAATAGAACAAGAAAAGTGTTCAATTTCATACAGACGTTATAGACTGAACTCTATCTGATCACGTACAATAACTCATAATTCAACAAATAGTTTCCAAGGCCGCAACAGGACTTGCCACTTAACGACAAAATGATTATTCGGTTTGTAAACAACAAATTATCGTTGGCCCAGCTGGCATGCTGCTATGAGTTTATATCAACAGCATATGTCAAGCAAAGCTCTTTTAAAATGTCTGATAGTGAATTTCAGTTATTATTCATTTTAATTAATTTATTTTAAAACTATCGGCGCATAAAAATTTTCGATTACTTATCGAATGCATTGATAATTGTTAACATAACCAGCAATGTTAGTTAACATATCAGATCGATAATTTAATGTAGATGCCATTGACGCAACCCTATTCGACTGCCAATCCTAAAGCGGCGGCATAAATCTTGTAAGTCCTAGCATATTTTTTCTAGATCTTAGATACAAAACAAAATAAAATTGAAAAGGAAAGTTTAAATGTATAATTTACTGTAAAAGAATCTTATTTTGGCACAAGTTGCATCAACTTCGGTGACACAAATGAAAATAATCGAGTTCCGTTGAAGTTCAAAGCCAGCTAATAAACCACAGCAGATTGGCTTTGTAATTTTACTTATTTATCGATGTAAATTCTTGTTTAATTTTGGAGAGTTCAAAATTTCAAGTACCTATCAAAATTTCAAGTAACTTGTGGACCTGTAAGGCCGAGTGAAAGTGCGTTCAGATTAGTTGCATTTGTTCCAAAAATTAACCATGAATTATTTTTTGTTCACTCTAATGCAGTAATGAACGAAAACAACATGGAAGTGTGCAATTCAGACTGTGTTGGAGTCAAAACAGCTACTGCAATACCTGCAATGGCTATAGCGCCACCGATTGCTCACATGATAGGGTCGCCGAAATCCAGGCCTGAAGACTATACTCAGCAAACGCCACAAAGGCCGCCCAAACGGGATCACCATCTTTTTCACTTACAACGCGATCTGGACAGCCCCAGTGCCGCTTTGCGCTTGCGCGCCTTACGTGCCCTGAAGTAAGCACAAATTTGCAATTCGATCCCTTTGCTAATTCAATTGACTAATATGAGTATTTTCGGTGTAAGCAGAAGTCCCAATAAACATTATAACAATTTCGATATCCCACATGATGAAATAAGCATAATCACTACAGAGGAGCGCAATCCCTGTCCACCACCAACTCTCTCCGAAATTTTACAGGACGTGATAGTCTACGTTGAGGTGCGCACTGGCAGTGATAATCGCTCCGAGGGCGTGAAGACCATCATTGCCAAGCTGGGCGCAAAAGTGAACGATCGTCTGTTGCGGTAAGCTCAAGAACGCGAACTGAAAGATATCTAATAATAATAATATATATTTCTAACAGTAATACTACACACGTGGTCTTTAAGGACGGTCTTTTATCTACTTACAAGCGCGCTAAGAGCTGGAATGTACCAATTGTGTCCATATTGTGGATTGAAGCTTGTAAAGTACAAAAACGGCTATGTGAGACCAGCCAGTTTCCCATCAGCAATATCCATTTATATGAATATCCAGAAATATATGGTAAAATTGCGGTGAGTGCGGTATATTATATATAAACTTACTTGATCCCCTAAAATGCTGTATCTACTCGCACTTGCAATAACATATCTAAGCACATATATTTAAATCTTAGTTCCTTCAGTCGTAAATCATATCTGCAACTACCGTACTCAAAGCAAGTGGCTATTTAATTGTCTTATTACCGCCATATAATATCACTACTATTGATTATTTATTATGTTAGCTAAACATTTGCGATAAGGCCAAAACAAAAGAAAAACAATATCAAAGCTACGCCAATGAATCAGATAAGAAAGCGATATCTTCAATTCAGCCACTACGTATGTAGTAACTTGAGTATTGTTTAGGAAAGTGATTCAGAAGATAATTTCCGATTTCCATATAATCTGCAATTAGCTCAAGAGCGTTACCGCACTAAATAAAAAAATTATTAGAATTTCATTTATATGAGATTACAAATACAGTATGTATATATGTCACCTTAAACTTGTTTTATATGCAGCCGACATTTGCTCAACTTGAGCATACCCTGCTTACCAAATTTGGCCCTGGGTATTGCAAAAATGGCAGCAGCAGAAATCCCAACAAAAAAAGACATAAAAAGCATATACCTGGTTTTTAGTGCCGTCTGCAAGTTCACGTATTTTGCCGAATACAAATAAGTTGCTTGACAGACTCTTATCGCCGACAACAAAATGTCAAGCACTTATTGTTTGTCAGCGTTGGGTTATCTAATTCAATTTGTGTGTAACAACGTTTTATGTGTCTTCTGTGCTTATCAAATCGTAGGAAGTTGGTAAGAGCAAAAAAAAAAGCGCATCACAAATAACCATATATGTTTCTTCTTTATACATTTTGTACTATTATGTACAGACATTATGTTTTATTACTTAAATATTACGACAGTTTTAAAAGAGACACGCTGATCAACGCAGAGACACAGCTGACAACTTAAAACCTATTTCACATGCACGTCTGTTTACCGCAGCAGATTCTCTTCTCCCGTGTCATTTACATAACTCGCTGGAAAAATAGAATATTGCAAGTAGCCTATTTATATGCAAAAAATACTTTGTTAAAATTGTTGGGTATTTTTCATATCTCTCTTCTTCTATTTGGGGCGGGCGTTAAACGCGCTGTGCAACGTTTTTTCTGAGATTGTATCAAGTCCACATATATTCAGATACTGCATGACAGTTAAATTTGCATGCTGTTTGCTATTTACACACAAGAAATGCGCAATAAGTACGTGAGAATTTTAAAATTTACTTAGTAATGATTGATGGAGTCCTTTGCTGTCCGTCTGGAATGCATATTTATATCACGCATAGGAACATGTGGGTGGGGGTTGTTTGTTGTTGTTGAGAGGTCAGATCAGGAGAGGGCAACCTCAAGGCACATCATTATCAAGAATCCAGAGATGGTGCCCCATGTGGCAATTGTGCCATTGCCACTGGCATGCGCCTCCGGCAATATATCATCGGCCACAATATAAATCATGGCGCCTGCCGCAAACGACAGCGCATAAGGCAATATGAGATTAGCAAACGTAACCGCAACGGCACCCAAAACGCCAAAGATCGGCTCCACCATGCCCGAAAGCTGGCCATACCAGAGGGCGCGCCCTACACTAAATCCTGCTGCATGCAACGGCAAACTAACGGCCAATCCCTCGGGGAAATTTTGTATGCCAATGCCAATGGCCAGATTGCGGGCGCTCTCGAACGTCGAGCTGTTTGTGGTGCCCACAGCACCGAAACTGACACCCACCGCCAATCCTTCCGGTATATTGTGCACGGTGATGGCCACTACCAGCAACATGACATGTTTCCATTGGGCGAGCGCCTCCTGTGTCCGCTGCTGTTCGAGCGTCGTATCAGCCGTATAAGTGCACTGCTCCACCTCACTAATGCTTCCTTTCTTGCGACGTCGCGACTCTCCGCTGTGCTGGACACTCAGACAATCGGAGAAACTGTCCAGACTCTTAGAGGCATGACGGGCACTGGCGCCATTGCGCTTAAGCTCATCAATTGCAATGTTCGCCTTATCCTTGTTGTTCTGTGTCATTTGTATCATCATGTTGGTGCTATTCAGACCCAGGTACGACATCAGCTTGTCACAGCCGTACACAAAGATCGAGCCAAGCAGGAACCCACCGGCCACGGGCAGAAATGAGTAGACGCCATACAAATGCGATTGCTCGGCCAAATGAATGGCCGGCCCAAGTAGCGACCAGAACGAGGCAGCAATCATTACGCCGGCCGCAAATCCCAGCGCTGCATCCAAGGATCGTCGCTGGGTGCCGCGCACAAATATGACCAACGCTGCGCCAGCGGCCGTCAAGCCCCAGGTGAGCAGGGTGCCCAGAAGGGCTTGCGTCACCGGTCCATAGCCAGGTATCATCTTTTCGCGTCTATTTTATTTAGCTGCTTTACTTCAAGATTTGTTGTTGCTCAGCGACCATATATAATTTATGTACGTGTAAGCGCGTTATCTCGCTGCAATGTCGGTGGTCTAGGGGAAAAAACTAGTTTTCTTAATTATTTTTCCAAGCAGACGACACGATATTGGCATGCAGAGGCGGCGTCCGCCCCTTTTATTTTTACTTGACTGTAAAGTGCCACGTTCTTGGTTTTAGCTCTGCGCACCGATGCTCATTTCCCTTGCGCGTTTTCTTTATGTTTTAACTCTAATTTGGTTGACAAGTGTTGACAAATAACAAAACAAAACAAAACCAAAACAAAACTTCAAAACATTATTATGATTTGTTTATATCTCTCAGCTGCTGTATTAATTACGGCGAGGTGGGGCGCGGAGGCGTTACACAATTGTTGCTTATCGCCAGCTTGGGGATGCGTTCTTTGGCATTGAAATGTTTTCTATTGAATACTTTTAATACTGCTTGATTAGTTGTAGTTTTCTGTTATAACAGCCAATTGAGCGCGACGGACAGTAAATGAGCCGCAGACTGAGGCTGATGGCTGTATTATAGCAATTTTTATATGACGGCGACGGTTGCTCTTTCTGCGCTCGCAGTCAGAACGGCGCATGTCCAGTGAGTAAAACCAGGGCTGCAGACGTGAGCAAGTGTAACCACAATTTCGTGTGGAAAAATTAAAATTCAAGGCGCAATTCACTACGATTAAAAATTGTATATTGTGTGAATTAAACATATATTAATAATTATTATTATTCAATCTATGTGTTATATGTAGACCAGCATAAAGACAGCGCTCCAAACCGGTTTGCAACTCTTTACGGTCAAAGAGAGTGATAAAGAGAGATAAAAGTCGCGCTAATATTAACGTAAGCCCAACGGCGACAACATCACGTACATTATAAACAAATAAAGCAGTGGTTTTAGCTAAAAGTGACTGACAGAACCGAGTTGCGAAAGCAGCAGCACCTTTATCACTTATCAGTTGACCTTGCGTCTGACTAATCACACTATCGCTGTTTATTCCAAATACATTGCAGCGCGTTCGTTGCATGCAACCAGATTCTGAACTCATGAGGCGGCCACGCAAGCGCCATGGAACACCGACTGGCACCAAGGATAAAGAAGTTGCCAAAAAGGTATCAGCTCTAGACGAGCCCACAACAACGCCAAAGGTAAGCTTTTATTTCTTGTTAGCCATGACAAATATTTGAACAAAATGTTCCTAAACCTTACAGAACGACATACAACGCTTCTTCAAGCCTTTAAGCCAGAATAAGCAACTGACTGAAAGTGAATCAACCGAGTCACCAGCGACCAGGTTGCTAAATAGGTAAGTAATGGAGTAATTACCCGCAAAACTGAAAATTTCGTTTCAAAACCCTGTGAAACGAACATTCCTGCGTTGGTCACCAGTTTTAATAATATATTTAGAATCATATCAGAGCATTAACCACCGTCTAAATTATATTACTTTAATCTACAGAATGACCAACGGATGTTTTACACCGCTCACAACGCAGATTCAGCCAGATGTACATAAGGACAAAACAAATGAGACTGACTTAACCGACAAGCGACCAGTAGCCAAAAAGACTTTAAGCTTTGGCCAAGAAAAGCGAGTGGACAAGCCCCGAAGCAGTTCGATGACAGTGGTGCCGCCACAAGATATAATTCCGCTACGTGTCAGTCGTCGTAGCACTTCGATGCATGAGTCCACTAGACACGAGCCTAAAGAGGATCAAGTACAAACAGAGCCGCGCCTGACAAGGCGACGCAGCTCATTAAACATGAGCAAAATTTCCAGCTTAGATGAAAATTCGTCTCAGTCGACAGCACAACCACTGCCACAGCCAGAGCCGAGACTGACGCGTCGCCGGAGCTTGCAACTAACTGCACAATCTAAGATAGAAAATAGTCCAGACCCGCCAGTACAACAAGATTCGCAAATTTCGCGTCGTCGCAGCTTTACAACGATTTCTACCACGAAGCCCAGCACACCAACCGTGATTAAGAAGCCGTCATTTCAAGCTATTGACGAGGAGCCATTGTTGGAGACGACATCTAAAAATATGTCGCTGGGGATGGGCACCACAACCGCTCAAGCAAGAACGTCAGTTAACAATAGAACCAACTACGTGCAACAATCAATGGAAGTTAGCATGTCCCGAGCGGTCTTAATTGGTGAAGCAACCGGACGCCGCACACTATACACTACCAATCCAATGGAAATAAGCGCAGTGAACGTTGAGAACGGTGAAAACATAAACCCATATCTGGAGTACAGCACCCAAGCGAATGTAACCACGCAAACATCACTAGACAACATCGGTGAGCAGACGCCTGTGCCAGTCTTCAGCTCGACACGACTGCCAGGCAGCGCTGGCTCCACCAGCAATCGTCGGCGCTCGCTCTTTCACATCGACATAGATCTGATCAATGAGCGCATCAACACGATAAACAGCACTTCGCAAAGACGCTCACTGGCGTTGGCCAATGCGGCCGAGCTGGGCGAGAGTCGCGCCTTGGCTCCACTGCAGGCGGTGGTACCCGAAGAAAAATCGACAGAGCCAAAAATGCGTCGTCTGTTTACGCCAAACGAGGATATTGTCCTATCATCGTCATCTAGCTCAAGCAAGAGATCACGCCAGAGCATTAGCGGCAATACCGCTTCAACCGGCACCGTCAAGCGTCGTCGCTCTTTGGCAGCGCAGAAGCCCACGGCGGCCGTTGGACCGATTTTGCAAACAAATTTCCAGAGTAATGATGAAAATGAGACGGACACCGATTTGTATGTGACACCAAATGCTTCGGTTGACATCATTGCCAGCGCATCAGAGTCGCATGGAGATTGCGTGATGCGCGCAACAAAGCGACGCACCATACACACCTTGGTGCACACCAATATGCATAGAGAGCAGGTGCAGGTCATCCAAAAGGTTGGTAATACAGCAGTGAGGCGTTAAGCGACAGTTTTTTTTTGTATTTTAAAATTTATAGTCTTGTATGTAGGTCCTCTAATTGTATTAATTCGATAACCAACCCCTTGCCTCTATGTACTCTAGCTTGTAATTTCAAAAAGTTTCTTAATTGTTATTATTAATTGCAATTAGTTCAACATAATCACAATTGAGTTTAGTTTTAGTTTAGTTTCTACTCAATCATCACGAATTCAGTAATTATTGATAAAACTTAGTTAACACGCAGTAGCAATAAAATAACTTCTTCAGCTTTCACACAAATAAATTAAACATTAATATTGGCAAAATATTAAGTGGTCTTAATTTGTCCTTGATTAAATTCGTTCCCATTAATCTACACATCCACTGAGCATATATATATAAATCCTCCCGCCCCCATATCAATTGACTTTCGTTTCTGGCACGCCATCCCAGGCCATACGCAAACTTCGCGGAGTGCGTTTGGATCCCACGGTCACAAAGCGCACCACACACCTGGTTAGCTTGGAGCCACGTCGCACGCTAAATCTGCTGCGTGGTCTCATACGCGGCGTCTGGATTGTCAGCTACGAGTGGATCCTAGAATCGATGCAGGCCGGCAAATGGCTAGACGAGCAACGATACGAGCTAACCTCATTCTCACGTGCCGTCGTGGTGAGTTGGACAAATTACGTACAATATTTATACATATAAACGCCTTATTTACTTGCATTTATTCCTTGCCAGATTTGCCGCACCGAACGGCAAGCCTTTGGTAATTTCTATCGCTGCGAACTATTCCGCTATATGGAGGTCTTCTACGTGTCATCTCTGTGCCGACCCATCACTTTCAACAATATAAAGGAGTTGTTGCTCCTTGGCGGCGCCAAGTTAACTGAGAACCGCTACAAAGCCAAGTTCATTGTGGGCGATAAGCGACGTGCCGATGATGATCGCATTTATCTGTCGCCCATCTGGGTCCTTGATAGTATTACCTCAATGCAAGTGCAAAAGTTTGGAAAGTACCTGATGAAGTGCGCCATCGTCACACCCCATGGCATACGATATGAGGATCCGTGTCGGGAGCACGGCGAGAAACCACGACGAAATTTGAAAGTTTGTTACAAAGATCCGGCGCTACTCATAAACAAATGAGCCAATTGACAATCAGTTTCAAATTCTGTAAAACTTAGTTAACTTATCCGAAAAACTTTGGTTAAATAAATACGACTGTTCGATGTTCCAAGATGCAATTATTTTATTTCGTTTTTTTTTCAATCTCTTGCAATTTATTCAAGTAAATGAGGTAAAGTATTGTTGTATAGCTTGTTGCAGTTCCTTGTACTTCTTGTCGTATTGTGTTTGTACTTTCACATTTTGGCGATGATGTAAGCGGCAAATGATAAAATGCGAAATTGGGTGGGAAAAGGCAAATTTAAAACCTGCGCTGAAACTGAAAAGCAAACCAAAAAACTGTGGAAAATGTTTTCATTTGTCTGTATGAAAAACGAATAAATAGAAAATGTGGGATTTATTTGTTGTAAATAAGGTTATTTATCTCTTTTTCTCTTCTAGTATTGTTTTTGTTTCAAATATAGTGTACAAAGTAGTGTGCAAAAAAAATAGATAAGATTTAGAAAATCAAAAGTTTAATTTAATCAAATACACGATATATAAATGCTATACGCCTGGCTCTACTGCTACACAATTATACGAACTATCAAATATGATATTATAATAAAATCAATTTATTACAAAAATCATAAGTATATGTAGGTAAACTTAAGATTGAGGGTAATGTTTGTGTTTCGTATGCTGCTCTTGCGCTCCTCTCCTCTCAATCGTCTAGGCGGCTTCGATGGCGTGTAACATTCGTATCCGACGAAATTCTTTGCGATGGAAAAAATTAAACTTTTGCTTTTGCTGGAACATCATCTTATCGTTCATGCTGCCCAGGAAAGGTGTTTGTGTCTGGCTACTGTTGTGCTTATCATTGTTGCTGTTACTGTTGCTGAGTTGTGGCTGTTTCATATTGTTGTTATTGATGTTGTTAATATTGTTTGGGAAGGAAACCAGCTACTTCTTGCCCTTGGTGGCCTTCTCGGCGGCCTTGGTGACCTTGCCACCGGAAGCGTCCTTGAAGTTGACAGACTTGATGACACCGACAGCGACGGTCTGTCTCATGTCACGCACAGCGAAACGACCCAGAGGAGGGAACTCCTGGAAGGACTCAACGCACAGAGGCTTGGAGGGCACCAAGTTGACGATGGCGGCATCACCAGACTTGATGAACTTGGGGTTCTCCTCGGTGGTCTTGCCGGAACGACGATCGACCTTCTCCTTGATCTCAGCGAACTTGCACGCAATGTGAGCGGTGTGGCAATCCAACACTGGAGTATAACCGTTGGCAATCTGGCCAGGGTGGTTCAACACGATGACCTGAGCGGTGAAATCGGCGGCACCCTTGGGGGGGCTGGCCTTGGAGTCACCGGCAACGTAGCCACGACGCAGCTCCTTGACGGAGACGTTCTTGACGTTGAAGCCAACATTGTCTCCGGGAACGGCCTCGGTGAGGGCCTCGTGGTGCATCTCCACAGACTTGACCTCAGTGGTGATGTTGGCTGGGGCAAACACAACAACACAGCCAGGCTTCAAGACACCAGTCTCGACACGACCGACTGGTACTGTTCCGATACCGCCAATTTTGTAGACATCCTGCAGGGGCAGACGCAGAGCCTTGTCGGTGGGGCGGGCAGGTGGCAGGATGGCATCGAGAGCTTCGATGAGGGTCTTGCCATCGGCATTACCGTCCTTGCGCTCCACCTTCCATCCCTTGAACCAGGGCATGTTGGTCGATGGTTCCAACATGTTGTCACCGTGCCATCCGGAAATGGGCACGAAGGCAACAGCCGCCGGGTTGTAGCCGATCTTCTTGATGTAGGAAGACACTTCCTTCTTGATTTCCTCATAACGGGCCTCGCTGTATGGTGGCTCAGAAGAGTCCATCTTGTTGACGCCAACAATCAGCTGCTTCACACCCAGGGTGAAGGCAAGCAGGGCGTGCTCGCGGGTCTGGCCGTTCTTGGAGATACCAGCCTCGAATTCACCAGTACCGGCAGCAACAATCAAGACGGCACAATCAGCCTGGGAGGTACCAGTGATCATGTTCTTGATGAAATCTCTGTGGCCGGGGGCGTCGATGATGGTCACGTAGTACTTGGCAGTCTCAAACTTCCACAGAGCGATATCGATGGTGATACCACGCTCACGCTCGGCCTTCAATTTATCCAAAACCCATGCGTACTTGAACGAGCCCTTGCCCATTTCCTGAGCTTCCTTCTCGAACTTCTCGATGGTACGCTTGTCGATGCCACCGCACTTGTAGATCAAGTGACCGGTGGTGGTGGACTTGCCAGAGTCGACGTGTCCAATCACGACAATGTTGATGTGAATCTTTTCTTTACCCATGTTGGCTTATAGGAGCTATTGGGTTCAAGGTTTTTTTTTTGTGTTGGGAGTTCACAGCGTGCATTCAGGTTTGTATGTATGTGTGTGTGTGGAAATGGGTTCATCACACAAGCACAATCAGCAATTGGGGAAGAAACAGATGGGTAAACAAAATTTGTTAGCAAACAAATAATTAACAGGGGTACAAACATTAGTAAATACATCAGGGGAAAATTGTCTTAAATTGTCCTATTTTCTTTTTTTTTTCGAACGTTAAATTTTCGAGTGCCAGCAAGTCAAACCTAACCTCAAAACGAAACGTGTTTGCTTTTGCAGTTTACACATTTTTGCTTTGTATAGCAAATTCTGCTTTGAGGTTATGTTTAGCCGCTGCCGCATGTTTCTCGGTGGTGGAACAGTTTGTGTATGTATGTAAGAAAGCCACAAGCGAAACTGGTAACAAAAAGGAACGTGCAAAGAAAAAAGTCAATTATAAAAAAAAAAAAAAAATACCCTATATAATTTCTCGATTTTTCAGTGATTTTGGTATTTTTGCTTTCGTCAAAATTCTTCAGTAGCAGAACTGAATAGATATCATCATATAAAATCGAGATAATTAAAATTTAATCAAATGAAATTCAATATGTATGCATGTGTATGTGTACGTATGCATACATACACAACACACATACTTATAATTCATATGGGAAAAGAAATTTCCAGCAAATTTAATCTAGACATGTGGCTGTGTGTGCGTGTGTTTGTGCCGCTGTTGCCGGCCGCCGTTATACCGCAAGAGAACGAGCGAGACAGCAAAGTAAAATGGCGACGGGGCAATGATTCGAACAAAGGCAAACGGGCGATCAAGCAACGGTAGGCAGCGCGATAGAGATGCACTGATCAAGAACTAAAGTGCACTGTAGGTCGGCCATTTTGGGCTGAGCTCATGCTAAGATAACAAATTTCACCAGCGTTGAAATCGTGACGTTTCGAGAAATTTCACAACATTGAATAAATTTAATTTGCACCCGTGGCAGGCAGGCAGGCAGCTGTCAATGAAAGTACATTCTTTTTGTAGCTTCCCAGCACTACTAATTTAGGCAGACAGCAGTCACACCATCGCTTGTGAGCCGCCATCTTGAAATTCTATGCCCATACGTATAGAGAAAGGCAACACATTTTGCGTATGCAAAAAAACAAAAACACGATTCTCCAGGTGAAATTTGTGCAATTGAAATGCGTTGCATCAAGCAACATGCGTTACAAATGAAATTTAAATTGAACGCACTCGATTTAGGCCAAGAGAACAGGCGACCACCCACACATGTGGTATGCATATGGCGCTTGTGGGCGTGGCACCAGCAGCAATTACACCATATTGCAGAAGTGACTAAATTACTCATTTTCGCCATGAATTATAAACAATTTTTCATTGTGCTATTAACACTGCTGCTTGCCACGTGTTTACGCTTTAGCCAGCGTCATCACCTTTCACTTTGCCTCTTTTAGGTTAGCTTTGAGTGCATCACTCACACATACACAGGCCAATAACAAATATGCAGATTTATTAAGTCCACTTGCATATTTGTTTATAAACTTATCGATGACTGCACTATTGCTGGTTCATTGGGTATACTTTATTCACTTAATTTTATTTTCACTTGCCTAGCAAAACTTACTCTCGAATAAATTAAATGAGAAATCACAAAGTCTATGCTATTCCGGCGACAGACTTGAACAAAGTGAACGAGCGTTCGGTAAAACAGGAAGCTTGTAGCCTCGTTTCTGCTAGCGTGGCGTTGTCGAGTTGCTTCGCAAATATCGAATAATTCCAATATACAGTGTGACCATGTACAATTATCGTGCAACTGTTATTTAACGAGCATATGTGTGTTCAGTGAGGAGCACATTCTGTTGGAATAGTGGAGTAATTCTTCCCAACAGTGTTATAAAATGTCAATGACGTGGCCCTCGCCATGAAAGCGAATTCAATTCTCGTAAAGCATTTGACCGGTCTGGACGTACATCGTTTTTCGGCCAGCAGGCGGTTGTTAGACAGTATTCGTAAAATATATATTTCAGATTAAAAAATAAGATATCAACTACAAAAATAACAATATGAGGCATTCAGTAGCTGCAGTGCTTCTATTCGCTTTTATCGCAACTGTTGCCGGTGCGGAGCACGATGTGCTGGATCTCGGTGACGATAATTTCGTATCAACTTTGAAACAGCATGAAACAACATTGGTTATGTTCTATGCACCCTGGTAAGTTTGGCGAGGGAGTGGGGGAGGTGGGCGTGGCACTTGCAAATGCCAGTTGGCAATTAATTTTGTGCGAATCAAATGTACACGTCAGCGCTGCACCGTGGAGAAGGGCCAACAAATCGGGATTGACAATAGTCAGTGGAGTCGGCCATTTTAGTGGAGGTTTCTGTGTACACATACATACATTTGAAGCGTTTTATGACTGTATGCGTGCGAGTGTATGTGTGAGTTTATAAAGTAAACTGTAAACTTGTCTGCTTGAACTTGTGCATGTGTATGCGTGTAGGCTTGTGTGTGTGTGTTTGTGGAGACAAAGAAGATTGAAAGATATTTAGCCGGCCGGCAGTTCATATTTCTTTCTAATGCCACATCTGAGGCGAACCTTATCAGTTGTAGCACGTATATAAGCAACTTACACGCAAAACAAGCAATTTAATTGAGTCGCATTTCAGCTTGTTTGATAAGGAGTTAATTTGGTGGCCCCCGTGATAAGACCCGCAGCAAAAACTATTTTCTATACCTACTGCAAATGAGTATGAGGGGTATATATAATTAAGTTTGTGACAAGCAGAATTAGAAAGAAATAACTACAGAGTATATCTTAGTCGAGCTTCCCAACTTTAGATAGTTCTTTTCTTAGAAACATACAAGAATAATTTAAGAATTATGTGACGTGTCTCTAAAATGAACATTGCTATATACTTTTAGGTGCGGACACTGCAAACGCTTGAAGCCCGAATATGCCAAGGCGGCTGAGATCGTCAAGGACGACGATCCACCAATCAAATTGGCCAAGGTAAGCTTGGCTGATATTTAACTATAAATACATATATATATATCCAATACAACATTCGTCTGCTGCACACAGGTCGACTGTACCGAGGCAGGCAAGGAGATTTGCGGCAAATATTCAGTTAACGGCTATCCAACGCTGAAGATTTTCCGCCACGATGAGGTTTCGCAGGACTACAGTGGACCACGCGAGGCAATTGGCATTGCGAAATACATGCGTGCCCAGGTGGGACCCGCCTCCAAACAAGTGCGCAGCATTGATGACCTGGCCAAATTCTTGGACACCAAGGACACCACAATCCTTGGCTACTTCAGCGAGATGGATTCGAATTTGGCCAAGATCTTCTTGAAGTTCGCGGACAAGAATCGCGAGAAGTATCGCTTCGGACACAGCGAAGACAAGGACGTGCTGAAGCAACAAGGGGAAACGTAAGTGAGGGACGAGAGTGGGACGACTGCATGTTCAAGTTTCAAGATAGGCAGCATCCATAGCAGTCCTAGCATCCATCATACATCCATTTCCATACATCGCATACAATATATATTTCTTCAGTTTAATAAATAGTTTGTAGTTTGCAAAGGACCCTTGCCATAAGTTCCATTGCATTGTATTTGTATATATGGAACTTAGCTTAGTCATGGCTGTGACCATCACGGGTAGAGATGAATAGAAAATCAACCAGTTAATCATTTTGCTTGACAAAACATCGAATATTTACCCAACTCTTAATAACACGTATTTTATGTTCTCTTTATAAACAGAGATAAGATTGTGCTAATCCGTGCCCCACATTTGAGCAACAAATTCGAGTCTTCCACTATTAAGTTTGAGGGCGACACCGAATCCGATCTGAGCACATTCGTCACAGAGAACTTGTAAGTAACACTCCCATCTCACCGCGGTCGCTCCTCTGTTATATTGAGTAAATGTTTGACTTTTGTAGCCATGGTTTGGTCGGTCATCGCACACAGGACACATCGCGCGATTTCCAGAATCCTTTGATCACCGCCTACTATGCCGTCGACTACCTGAAGAATCCCAAGGGCACCAACTACTGGCGCAATCGTGTGCTCAAGGTGGCCAAGGAGTTTGTCGGCCAAATTAACTTTGCCATCAGCTCCAAAGATGACTTCCAACATGAGTTGAATGAGTACGGCTATGATTTTGTCGGTGACAAGCCCGTCATTTTGGCCCGCGATGCTAAGAATCTCAAGTATGCATTGAAGGATGAGTTCTCTGTGGACAGTCTGAAGGATTTCGTTGAGAAGTTGCTGGACAACGAATTGGAGCCGTACATCAAGAGCGAACCGCTGCCCGAATCCAATGATGCACCTGTCAAGGTTGCCGTTGCCAAGAACTTTGACGAAGTGGTCATCAACAATGGCAAGGATACGCTGGTCGAGTTCTATGCCCCATGGTGTGGTCACTGCAAGAAACTGACACCCATCTATGACGAGCTCGCCGAGAAGCTGCAAGATGAAGATGTGGCTATTGTCAAAATGGATGCCACTGCCAACGATGTGCCACCAGAGTTCAATGTGCGCGGCTTCCCCACGCTCTTCTGGCTGCCAAAGGATTCCAAGAACAAGCCCGTCAGCTATAATGGCGGTCGCGAACTCGATGATTTCGTCAAGTACATTGCCAAGGAGGCAAGCACAGAACTGAAGGGCTTCGACCGCAGCGGCAAGCCTAAGAAGACCGAGCTGTAAGCTGCATACATCTAAATCTAGCGTGTAACTAAGTAGCATTTCCATATTTTTGTAAAATCAAATGCATTCTCAAGCCAACAGTCAAAAGCGATCAGCAAATGCAATAATAATAGCAAAACAAGACGTGCATTAAATTATATAAAAGTCTGATCGGTTTCTTGAAATTCAATTATTGCTGTCAATAAACGTCAAAACTATTTTCTTCTTAATAATAACACACTCATGCCGGTTAACTCGCACTCAGAGCTGAAATCGAACTTCAGCGTTCAGATGCTCCATGTTCTCCTCCAGCATGACGCGATACCAGTCGGGTATGAACGAGTGAACATTGCGATCCTCGGTGACTCGATAGGTGATGTGGCCATTGTTTGCATTGTAATCCAACAGATACACGGTGCTGGCGGAGTCTATATGAGCCATCAACTTCTGTATTGTACCCAAGAGACAATGCAGGAAGTTCCCACATATATTCGGTGACCAATCGGAATCCTTAAAATTCAGAATACGGTTGTAGTTCATAAATGAATTATATAGCCTTAGGTCATTTCGACTACTTACGCATTCCCGATATAGATCGCGTATCTGTTTGCTGTTGATGCTGTGCACGACGCCATTTCTATCGTGATACGCAATATAAACTGTCTCTATGCCCACCAGGAAGGACTCGGCCCACCATTTAAGGACATCGTGGCGATTGTGCGCTGACCACTCGGCACGATTCATGGTATCCAAGCGAAAGTACAGATCCACAAACGTGTTGGGCATTCGTATGCTATGAATATGAACAATGAAAAAGAAAGTGATTTTTGGGAATGCCCAAGTCTCATAGCTATGGACTCACTATGGATTTGGGTTGAACTGTGCAATAACGGGCGCATCGTAAAGAATATTTATACCGCATATATCAGTGGTAAAAACAGAGTAATATTGACCGCTCAGATTGTTTGGTTGACCAGTTTTTGCCGTGGAGCCATCTGTTGACAATATGCTTAAATTGATGAACAAATTGCGGGATTTTAATTCTTCTACCTCTTGCCACAAGGCAGTGCTGCCGGAGCACCTTCATATAAGCAGTCGTAATTTCTTGTCTCAGACGCTTGCAGTCAAAGTGTGATGATGAGCCGCCCTCTGAGTTTTGCACCTGACACATATAGATGGTGTTGCGATACTTGCTCACGGCTATCGTCCAGTTGTCCGTGTTCTCGTACGGAGTGCACATCATCAGCTGCAGCACCTGTCGGGTGCATACAATATCCATTTTCAGTTGCAGGTGTCCACGATCGTTACGCTTAATAAACTGCTCCGGTTGTGTCGATCGCAAAAAGAAAAATAAATTGTCCAAGTATTTTTGGTATGCGTTTGATAGTTTCGCATCTGCATCCGCATCGATTCCGTTACAGTTTGCTCTCAGGGAAAAGGGAAATGATTCCTTTCCCAATTGTCTTAAGAAATAAAGGCGCGAAGCGGATTTCTCGAAAATGCCCTCAGCGGACAGGCAGTATTCGCCTATCCGTGAGGGCCACCGTAGGTTTGGAAATTGGTGATTGTTAAACAAATGGCCAAATGAACGCGCATCAATGATTGATTGATTTAAAATGTTATTATTGGAGCACATTTTATTTATTTTTTTACGTGATTTGAATGGCTCACAAGTTACAGTTATACGCGGCACTCTTCTTCTACGCTAGCCATTCGCTGCGAAAATGTAAACAAACAGCCAGCACAGCCAGCTGAATGGTTATTAAGAATTTGGTATTATCACGGTTCGCGGTCACACTACCACCGGGCGATTGCACTGCACGTGTTTTAAAACTCTCATTGTTGATACGTCTTTTTCCTGCATGCTGTGCGTTGAAATTCAATTTGAATGCAAGTGGAGACAAAGCTATGGACGTGAAAATTAACAAGCTGCGGCGCAGTGTGCAGCAGCTCTTGCAGTTAACTGCCAGTGAGCCCCAGGACGATGTCTTTGTCTTAAACTTACAGAAATTCCTCAAGAAAAAGGTGAGTAGCACCCAGCTAACAAGAAACGTGTTCACAGCTTTTGAATTTATTAAAGCGGTACGTGGAACAAGATGTTGAGCGTCTGTTTAACAGTCTCAGTCAGCAACTAACGATGCCGGGCTACACTGTGCCTCTGGCCATGAGCTTTGAGGAAGAACTGCTACTGCTGCTGACCATGTCGCTGCGCTGGGATCCAGCTGTGCACGCGGACCAATATAAATCGGAATGCATTGCTTTGGCCAAGTTGTTGCACCTTTCGGTTGATGCCAAAAGGTAAGTCTCCTCCATAAAGTGTTACCTCTGTATATATCTGCATACAAGCTGTGTATATACTTTTTCGATTAATACTCACTCAGATTTGCAAAGAGCTACTTTCGGTACCGGCCAGCACCATTCGAGAAGCAACAGAGCAATGAGCACGTCCAGATACCCAGTAAGAGGACAAAAAAGACGCATACAAATGGCGTTCTGGAAACGAAAAAACAGCAGTTGGACTTGGAGCTCGTTAAGTGCTGCTACCAGCTGTTAAGCAGTGATGCTGTCTACTACCGGGAATTGTGGGATTGGTCACAGTTTCTGGCTAACTATTCGGATAACAGTGTTAAATGTCAGCTGTCGCAGCTTTATTGCAATCACATAATGGCGATGCTGACGGATATGTCGAGCACGCAGCTGCACACGCTGAACGCCCAAATACCCGTCAAGGTGCAGCTTCAATTCGATGAGCACCAGACGCTGGCTACCCACACAAAATTCGATTACTCATCAGATCTGCCGGAACAGCACTTAACGCTTAAGCTGGAGAAAGCCAACCAATCAGTCACCAATATCGAAGGTGTAATCTTGCCCATCTTCAACAAGGACAATCAGACATTTTATGCAGACACCGATGGCTGCTATGATCGCATTGTGAAAGTGGACTCAAGCATTGTGAATTTGCGTAGCATTGCTCTGGGCGTGGCTGCTGCCAAGCCCATCTGCCTCTCCGGCCCAGTTGGTTGTGGCAAGACCACGCTAATTGAGTATTTGGCGCGTAAGACTGGTCGCATTTGTCCCAAACCAAAGGAAATAGAAATACGTGACAAAGCAAAGCGGGAAGCGGAAGAAGATGATGAACTACTTAAACCAAAACGAAAACAGAAAGCGATTAAAAATGCTGGAGAAAAGAGAAAAATCGCTGATGTACCAATGGAAGATTTAATGGTGCTGGAGGATGGCGATGGTCTAGCCCAGAGAAATGGATTTTTGCGAATACAGTTGGGTGATCAGACCGATAGTAAAATGTTGTTGGGTCAATATCGCTGCACAGATGTGCCCGGCGAATTCGTTTGGCTGCCCGGCGTTCTGACGCAGGTAAGGAAGAGGATTACAGTGGTCGCTAAAAAATGAAGACTGCGGCACCGTAAAAACCAATTATAATCCAATTAATTACACACAAAAATGTATATATCAGGCTGTCATGCATGGCTACTGGCTGCTGTTGGAGGATCTGGACGCCGCCACTCAGGACACATATACGATATTAAGCAGTCTTCTGGAACGCAACTATCTGAGTGTACCTGGCTTTCGGGATTGTGTCAAGATAGAGCCTGGTTTTCAGCTCTTTGTAACAGTGCGGTATGTAGGCTGAATTATTACGCTTGAGCTATTAACCAATTATAATCTCAACAGGACAAACAAATCTTCAAATAACTACAGCCAGAAATCTCTATTCTCGCTGCTTGAAAAATATTTATATACCATCAATATTCTTCCGCTGTCCCGCAACGAGCTGTGCAAAGTTGTGAGCACCAACTATGAGAGGCTGGCCACCGTTGCCAATCGTATTGTGGACGTGTTCTTGACCTTCTCCAGTGGCGATCACATGTCTGCCGATAACTTACGACAACAGGAGAGCAGCGATAAGGCAGATACCACGGAGAAATATGTGGCACTGCCTTTTGAACAGGTCGCAAGCACCGGCATACCCAACTCGGGTCGGTTGGTGTCCACGCGGGATCTGATCAAGCTGTGCCAGCGTGCGAATGCTCAGTTCTCCGTGACCAGCGCCGAATGCGCTTACTTTGTCTTCCAAAATGCCGTCGATGTTTTTTGCTCGTATTTGCCACAAAGCAAGGAGAAGACAGCTCTGATCACAAACATTGGCGCCAAACTGGGCATCATACGCTCACGTTGTGAGCATTTTGCCAATGAATATAAACCTGATGTGGAGTTTGGCAAGCAGAGCTTTAAAATAGGCCGTGCGACACTGCCAACAATATCTGTCGAAGAAGAGAAGGCACAAAGCGCCTCAAAGAGACAAAAGTTAACGTTGCAGACGCAGAAAACAATTTCCAAATCCTCAGTCAAGCGTGCAACCTTCTCATTTACTCGCCTGGCCAGCTGCATCCTGGAACGTATTGCCGTTTGTGTTAGCCATTCGGAGCCAGTTCTGCTGGTGGGTGAAACTGGTGTGGGCAAGACGTCCTCAGTGCAGTACCTAGCTGAACGTACAGAGCATAAACTTGTTGCCATCAACATGAATAATCAATCGGACGTCTCGGATCTGGTTGGTGGCTTTAAGCCCGTCGAACTTAACTATGTCCTTGCACCGTTACGTTATGAATTCGAGCATCTATTTGGCGAGACATTTAATGCTGATAAGAATCTACAATTTCTAAGAATATTTGCCACCCACTTTAACAATGGACGACACAGCGTCATCATACGCACCATGCTCAATGTGAGCAACAGCATATTATGCAAGGAGGAGCACAAGCTGAATCCGCTGCTACCACGCTGGCGAACGCTGCACGAGAAGCTGCAGCGACTGCAAACGCAGCTGGAAAAGAGCATTAACATATCCTTTGCCTTTATACCTGGCTCACTGGTCAATAGCATCAGCAATGGCGACTGGGTGCTTCTCGATGAAATAAATTTGGCCTCGGCCGAAACCCTAGAATGTCTGTCCACTATACTGGAGCCGGAGGGGTCTGTAGTGCTGCTGGAACGTGGCGATTTTATGCCCGTGAAGCGTCATCCCGATTTTCGCATATTTGCCTGCATGAATCCCAACACGGACATTGGCAAAAAGGATTTACCCGTTGGCATACGGAATCGATTTACTGAGTTCTTTGTCGATGAGCTGACCACAGATGCGGATTTGGGTCTACTGGTCGGCGATTATCTGGCCAATACGGGCATCCAGCGCAAGTCTGTGCACAGCATTGTGCAGCTCTACAAATCGCTGCGACGTCTCTCCGAGCTGCAGCTCAACGATGGCCTCGGCAATCGTCCTGTCTACTCGCTGCGCACGCTCTGCCGCAGTCTGCGCATTTGTGCCCGAAATTTGTGCGGCTCCATTGAGCGAAATCTGTACGAGAGCTTCTGCTTGAGTTTTCTCACTCAACTGGATCCGGAATCACATCAGTTGGTGTTGCTGCTCATACGAGATGCACTGCTGCACAATGCGAAGGTGGTGCTGAATCAATCGCTGCCTCGACTGGGCGAGAATTATTTACAATTTGAGGGTTACTGGATCCAGAACGGCAGTCTGGAATTGCAGTCCTGTGCACATTATATATTGACGGGTAGTGTCAAGAAGAATCTACAGGATCTGGCACGCATCATTTCCATTGGGAAGCTACCCATTCTGCTTCAGGGACCAACCAGTGCTGGCAAGACGAGTCTCATCGATTATGTGGCCCGGCGCAGCGGTAATCGTTGCCTACGCATCAACAATCATGAGCACACTGATCTGCAGGAATATATCGGCACCTATGCGGCTGATGTTAGCGGCAAGCTAAGCTTTCGCGAGGGTGTCCTCGTGCAGGCCATGCGTCATGGCTACTGGATCATTTTGGATGAATTGAACTTGGCCTCAACGGACATCCTCGAGGCACTCAATCGAGTGTTGGACGACAATCGGGAGCTGTACATTGCCGAAACGCAAACGCTGGTCAAAGCGCATCCCAATTTTATGCTATTTGCCACACAGAATCCTCCGGGTCTTTATGGTGGCCGCAAAACGCTCTCGCGTGCATTTAAGAATCGCTTCATTGAGCTGCACTTTGCGGACATACCACGCGCTGAGCTGGAGATTATATTGGAGCAGCGTTGCCTGATACCTGCCTCCTACTCACGCAAGATGGTGCAGTGCATGACCCAGTTGCAACAGCATCGCAAGAACACCTCCAAGCAGGTCTTCACGCTGCGTGATCTGTTCCGTTGGGGTAATCGCTATACGCTGGCGGATAAGGCGCTGCAGCAGGATCACAAATACGATTGGAATCAGCATCTCATTGAAGAGGGTTACCTGGTTCTCTCCGCCAAAGTACGCAGCAGCGAGGAGTTGCAGCTGATTGAGAAGACTCTATACGGGAACTTCAAGAAGCGCATTGACCTGGAGCTGCTCTTTGATATACAAACGAAGCGGGAGAGCTCTGCTGTTAGCCGGCACATTCTCGACGCCATACGCAACTTTAAGCAGCGCGGTGATATTGTCTGGACGCGCAACATGACCCGCATGGCGGTGCTAACGGCCAAGGCATTGCAGTTCGATGAACCTGTTCTCCTCGTGGGTCTAACGGGATGTGGCAAGACGACTGTGTGCCAATTGTTGGCGAGCATTGCGCAAGTGCGTCTGCGCATACTCAATTGTCATATGCACACGGAGGGTGCAGACTTTTTGGGTGGATTGCGTCCATGTCGAGGTCAGCAGAATGGGGAGCAACAGGCGCAAAAACTATTCGAATGGGCAGACGGACCGCTCATCTATGCCATGCTGGAGGGTTCTTATTTTATGGCCGATGAAATATCGCTGGCTGAAGATTCAGTGCTGGAACGTCTCAATTGCATACTGGAACCAGAGCGCAGCGTTCTTCTTGCAGAAAAGGGAGGGGTAGTCGAGGAAGATGTGACAGTTAGCGAATCCAATCTGAATAAGGACTTTATTGTTCAGGCCAAGTCGGGCTTTCAGTTTCTTGCCACGATGAATCCAGGTGGTGATTTTGGCAAGAAGGAATTGTCGCCGGCACTGCGCAATCGCTTCACTGAAGTCTGGTGCTTGCCATCAGATAACAAATCCGATCTCATAGAGATTGCACACAATTGCATGCAACGCGGATCAGCCAGTGCCACCAGTGTCACATCGAGTTCGTCCCATAAAATAGCTGAATATTTAGTGGAAATTGTGCTCTTTATACGCGATTCAAATGAAAAATTCAAGTTTTCCGTGCGCGACATACTCGCCTGGGCCAATTATATGGTTAGCAACTCGCATCTCACATTCGCAGAGCAAGCCATCTTTGGACTGGAGACTATCTTTCTGGATGCACTTGAAATGCTGCCACATGAATCCCAGACGCAAATCGAGGCACTCAAGTGCAGGATTATCGACCATGCCATTAGACAGGCAGCTGTCATACTTGATGAGCACTTTGAGCTCTCGTATGTTGATGAGAAACGTGGACAACAGGTGCAACTGGATGAGAAACGCTTCGGTATACGTCCCTTCTTCATTAACGTCAATCCGGAGCGGCTGATGCCCGCCAATGCCGAGTTCTTGTTCGATGCGCCCACCACAAAACAGAATCTATTTCGTCTGCTGTCGGCACTGTCGTTGCAGAAGCCGGTGCTGCTCGAGGGGCCACCAGGTGTGGGCAAGACCTCGATTGTGGAGAGTATAGCGCATGCGATTGGCTATCAAATCGTACGCATCAATCTGTGCGAGCACACTGATCTCGCCGATCTATTTGGCACCGATTTGCCAGCCGAGGATAATCTACTGGAGCGCGTCGAGGCTCAGAGTCAGCTTGGCAGTTTTGTGTGGCGCGATGGTCCTTTGCTTGCCGCACTGAAAGCTACTCGCACTTGGATATTGCTGGATGAGCTGAATCTAGCACCACAATCAGTGCTCGAGGGTCTTAACGCCGTGCTGGATCATCGTGGCGAGGTGTACATACCGGAACTGAATAAGAGCTTCCAGTTGACAGACTCCACACGCATCTTTGCCTGCCAGAATCCACTTAAACAGGGCGGCGGACGCAAGGGTTTGCCTCAATCCTTCCTAAATCGATTTAATAAGGTCTATCTGCGCAAATTAACCACCGAGGATCTGCTTCATGTGGTGAATGTCAAGTACGCCTCGTATTTTGATCAGTTAAACACATATTTTAATGCACTGCTTGATGCGGAGCAGCTGCCCAAAGGCAATGTTTTTGATTTGTACAATGGACACTCTTCGGAGATAGCTGCTACTGAAATTAGTTTCGATTTGGCTATGCGCCTGGTGCGCTTCTCGGAGGTGCTGGATCGCGGTGTTGCCACCATGGAGTTTGGCTATAAAGGTGGCCCCTACGAGTTCAATTTGCGCGACATTCTACGCTGGTGTGATCTACTCCACAATCCGGCCACCGGCTACCTTATGCTGCCTGGTGTCAATAACTTCCATGGCGCCTTTCATGACTTTTTACTGACACTCTACGAGCGCATGCAGCTGGTCTACTATCAGCGCATGCGCTGCGACCAGGACAAGCTTTATATACGCAATGCCTTTCAGGGCGTTTTCAACTGTAATGCGGAGCAGCTGAACGCTATTGCTGAGGATGTGGCGGTCTACTGGACCGCTGATAAGGTCTATCTCAACGATGTGGTGTTGGAGCGCGAGCCGTTAGCTCTTGGATTAGCGGCACAGCGACAGGAGCAGGCGCCACTGTTGCTTGCCACGCAACGGCAACAGCTCAAGCAAATTGTGGAAACGGTGCACATGGAGAAGCCACTACTGCTCTGTGGTGCCACGGACAGTGGCAAAACCAAACTGATCGATGCACTCTGCGTGCTTTCCAATCGTCAGTGCAACTCGGATAACATTGATGATTCGGTAACGGGAAGTTTTCAACAGGTACAATAGCTAGCACTATTTTTTCGTTGACTTCTTATTTAAATGTTGTAATTTTTAGGTCGATCTCAACCGTCATCTTGAGGATATCTATAAAAATGTGCAGTGTTTGATATTTGCCGTAGCTCAAAAGGCATTTCTGCAGCAGACAGAGTCGGCTTTTGTCCAACAACTATGGAAAACTTGGAGCAAGTACAATCAGTTGATTCGATTAACCACCGGTGAGCAGCTACTTGAAGTTTCAATGTTCGTTTACTGATCAATGTCGTTATCTCCCCTTCTTTGAAGAATCCCAACAACATAGCGTTGCAGAGGAGTTGGAGTTGTTCGCGCATCGTTTGGTTGCACTAGACGAGATCATTGCCAAGCTTGAGCAGACGCCGTTGGAGTGTCGTGTTCCACTGTTCGAGCAACTGACACAAAACAAATCCCAGCTCCTGCTATTGCAGACCTACATTAAATCTGCAGACTCGCTCAACACAGGCGGCTCCTTTGAGTGGGTTGATTCGAATATCGTGACTTCTTTAAAGTGTGGCCAATACATATTGCTGGAACATGTGAATCTTTGTTCATCCGCAGTCTTGGATCGTTTGAATCCCGTGTTTGAGCCCAATGGCAGTCTTTTGATAGCGGAGAAGGGCATCAGTGCACACGACAGCGCAGAGGTGGTGCAAAGATCGCCAAACTTCCGCGCATTCCTCACCATCGATCCCAAGAATGGAGAATTATCACGTGCAATGCGCAATCGTTGCGTCGAACTGTCGTTGTCCATGTCCAAAGATGCCTACAGCATTGACGATATGCGCGCCATTGTCCATGGCCAGGGAGTGCACCATACAGCCGCCATTGACTGCATGCTGTCCATACATCGGAATATAGCTCAACTAACTGAGTTCAACTCGTATACCATATCGCATCTGACGCACTTTGCTTTCCTAAGTGCCGCCTACAAGCGAATTGGCTATGAGCTCAAGCGCGCCATCTATGTGGCCGCCATGGAGGTTTATGTGTATGCAGCCAGCATGGATTTAATGGGCTATGGTCTGGCCTACTATCAGAACAAGCTGCGCGAAGTGGTGCTGACACAAACGGAGGCTTATGTGGAAGGTGAAGAAGAGCAGGAGGATTACCTCAACGATGTTATACTGCGCACAGATGAGCTGAATGCCCTGACACTCATCAAACTGCAAACGGTGACCTTAAAGCTGTTGCTGCAGTCGTCAACCGATGGGGAGCTGCCCAAAGCGCAGCTAATATCACTTTTTCAGTCAATGTCAGCACTGGATTTAAATCGGTTAAGCGTCAATCAGATTAGCCGCTTCCTAATCTACATGCTTTACGAGATGAGCGCCTTTGGTGAGCTGCATATGCGACATCTCTATATGCAGCAATATCTCAAGGCTCAACCCGAACTACAGCAGCTGTCATTCAGCTTGTATGACTGCCTGATGCAGCAGGGAAAACGATTCCAGACCAGCTTAACTAATCTGCCCTGGCATAGGAAACTATTTCCGCGTCTTCGTGATTATGCCACCCAGCCACCATCAAGAGATGCTGGCCCAGACGCTGCCTTGGCGCTTAGTGCGTCCTTGTTGGCTCAGCTGCTGGTCGCCCAGATACCCAAGCGAGTTGTGACTCAACTACAGCACATGGATGCTCTGCAATACTCACAGGCACTGCTGGATAAGAAGATTACAGAGAAATATAGCAACGATTTTCTGTGTCATCTATCCAACTTCCTAGAAAGCTTGCAACTGGCATTGCAGCACCATTTGAGCGCAGCCAAGTTTGAACTATCGCAATATGGCAAGTTTCTGACCAAGTTCCATTGGTTTAATCGGCTGGTGGACACGGCCCAACAGAAGCTGCTTCAACACAATGAGCTGCACGCTCCATTGATGCACAAGCTCGTGCTTCATTTCAAGTGGTTGGAGAAACATTTGCTAGCTGCCATTTTGGAGGCATGGCCCGATTTTCTGCACATTCACGTGGCACTGCGAGAGAGCCTCGAGCAGCTCACTTCCTATGTGCAGGACACCAAGCGTCCCATGAATGTGTCCTGCAAGATTTATGCCAAGCAATTTACACAGTTCCAGCCCTATTACCTGGATACTCAGGTGAGTGCCGAGTAATACCAGCAAGTATATAAATTATATTTATTCATTAATCATATTTACAGATAACATTGCATGAGAAAGTGTCGCAGCTGCAGCAGCTGCTGAATGTGGTCCCACAGTATGGCAACATGGATAGCAAATTGTGGCTGCACAAATGGCTGGCCCTGCAATCGGATGAAGCGCATAAATGGCGTGCCTTTCTGCGCACCCACATTACCAGCTGCCAAATGAAACAGTTCGAGCTAAATGATGCCTGTATTTGCAATGGTGAATTGCAAGCAGCGCTTCGTAGACTTCAGCATCAGTTAAAGGAACAACAACAACAACAACCAGACCAAGACGAGAGCATATTTATAGATATCGAGCAAGTGAGACAGAAGCTGACTGCAAGCTGGGATGGAGCTGAGGATGAGCATCTGGTTGATTTAAATGCCGGCGAGCTCAAGTCCTATCAGCTGCTGCAGGCCGCATTGCGTGACTACTTCATGGATCGGGCGCTGAGCAGGACTCTTCATCCAGATTTCGATGAGCAAGTGAATCAGCTGTACAGCGAGCAGTTGCTCACACTAAATGGACATATGTGGCAGTGCCTAAACACGCTCAGTAGTGCTACTCATGGCAACATCATGTTGGCCTGGCGTGAATTGTCCCAGGAACTACACAGTCCGGCGGAGCTTGTATCGCTGTTGCAGCAGCAGTTGGGCAGCAGCAGTTGCTACAAGGCGCTGCGCAGCTATCAACGCCAGTTTCGCCAGGCGCTCCAATGCTATCAGCTAGAGAATTTGGCCACACGCTTCGACTGTGCTCAGGTGCCCAGTGATGTGGAGCTTGGAAGTCGCTACAGCTATCAGGGACCCGCTTTGAGCAATGCTCTTCTGTCACTAGTTTGCCAATCAAATGGACAGCTGCTCTCGGTCCCGCTCAGCGAGCTACAGCCCTGGCGTCAGACACTGCAGCAGACGCGTCAACTGCTCTGGCAGAATGCACAGCTGCAGAGCCGTCGGCACAGCCCCGAGGTAAACAATCTGCAGCTGGTGCAGGAGAGTGGCAGGCAGTTGCTCAACGAATTGGAGTATGTGACACATGTGCAGCAGGAGCAGATGCAGCAGCAGCAGCAAATGGATGCGGGCTTTGAGCGTTGCATTCAGGAATTACAGCAGGTGCTGCAACAATTGCAGTTGCCGCAAGATCAGACTGAGCCACTGAGCTCCAGCTTTAATGCGGCACTGGCCAACACACTGATTGGCGTTCTGGAGCTGTGCGTGCTCACGCATGCGCCACTCATCGATCCCGTGGAAAAGAATCGTCTGAAGAACCTATACATAGCCGAGGATATTGATTGTCTCGTCCATTTTAGTGCCGCCCACGATTTTATGCGCATCATCATGAACTACAAGCACTTTGGCCAGCAAATCTATGAGCAAGTGCAGCAGCGCCTGCACTCAGCGCAACAGCAGCAGCAACAACTCAATCAAAAGCTGGCACTGCGTCCCGATCAATGCTTGTATGCCAGCCTGGTGCAGGATTTGATGCACTTCCTCAAATCCAATTGCGACTGCGCAGCACTGCACAAACTGATTAAAGTCATACGCGAGAACTGGTCACACTTTTTAGGTAAGCAGGCAGCGAGTGAGCAGCAACTGCGACGTGGTGCAGAGCTGCTCAACAAGCTGGAACTGTGGCTGGCGAATGCGCAACGGTTTGTGCATCATACGCTCGCCCGATATGAGGCCTACTATCAGGACTTTGTGCTGCCCATCAAGTGTGCCGTCAATCAAATGCGTTTTGGATTGGAGCAGCTCAAGCAACTCTTCAGTCGTCTCTTAATGGCTGGCAGCGCAGTGGAGGCCATCAAACTGGAGAAGACAATCGCACAGATTGGCGAGTTTCCCGCACAGCGTCCATTGGCCATCAGGAATACCCATGTGTATGGACTGCTTGCCAAGCTGCCGCACAGCGAGCACGAATACTTCCGTCTGCTGAAAGCGAAGCTGACCGAGCTGCGCAACTTCATCAGCATTGCCTCGAGCATTGATGAGACGATATTTGCGGCCTACGATGATGCGCTAAGCATCTGTAATCGCACGTGGCAGCAGGAGGAGCAGCGTCGCAACGAGCAGCGTGCCGAGGAGGAGAGTCTCTACAAGACTAAGACACTAGGCGGCGTCGAGGATGAGGAACTTGAGGCTCTGCAGGAGATTGAACAGCATTTTCCCACCAACCTGGACGAAGATTTTGCTGAATTTGTAGACCAGCCAACGTTGGAGCAGGTGCTCAAGCTGGACAAAAAGGCAGCGACAAAAGCGAAACTGGCACAGATAGTCAACGAGCAGGATTATGTATTCCTGGCACGGAATTTTATAGAGTCAATGACCAGGTACACAACTGTTAGCTACAAGGACCGTGAACAGCAACAGCGGGAGAAGCAAGAACTGCAACTGATTCAACCCTATCAGGCGCGACTGCAGGTCTTTGTTCAGCTACATGGACACTATAAGACTGCCGTGGGCGCCACCCTGGATGACAGCGTCTATAATGCTCTAACATTTGCGCTGGCGGTGCAGCAGCGACAGCTGCAGGACATTCACCTAGAGGAGAGTCATAGCAGTCCAACTTATGACTTCTATAAGGATTCAAATATAACGGAGATCAATGGCTGTTTGGATGTCATGGAACGCATTGAAAAGCGTGTGCTGGAGCAGCTGGAACTGTATCCGGAGCATGCTGGTCTTGCAGATATTAAGCTGGTCATTTCACGCATCCGAAAGCTGCCAGCAAATGCTAGCGTTGTACGCTTCAACACCGGCTTCCAGCTGCTGCGCCAGAAGCTGGCGCTCTGGAACGAGCTGGCCCACAGGAACAACAATCTGGTAGCGGAGGAGATTGAGGTGGCGGAGTTTGTGCAACGCTGGACTAAACTGGAGCTGCAGCACTGGCGCAACTGCCTCAACCAAACCGCACAACTGGTGGAATTGCGAGCCTATCGCTATTGGTTCTTCATCTACAATCTGCTCCAAGGGGGAGCAGCCGACCTCCCGGAATCGATACGCACACTGCGTCAGTTCGTGGAGGCATCGTGCTACGGTGATTTCCATGTGCGTCTCCAACTGCTGCATGGTTTCGAGATGTATCTGCACAACGTGGAGCGTGCGGGCAAAGCAAAAATGGATGTGCCACCAATCATTGCGGCGCTGCATAATCTTCAATTGTATTTTGCACAGTTTGCTCAGGAGGTGGCGGACACCGTCAAGCTTCGCCGAGTGCCCATTGAGAAGAAACTGCGCGAGTTTGTCAAGATCCAGAGCTACAACAAGGATCTTAGCTACTTTAGCATGCGTAACAATGTGGCCAGTGTGCATCGCAATCTGGGCAAGTTCCTCAAGGAGTATCGCCTGCTGCTCGAGCAGAAGATCAGCGAAGTGTTCCAGCCCAAAGATTCCACCGTCAAGGACTACAGCATGGATAAGAGCAGGTACAAGCAAAAGTTCGACCTATATCTTCTGGACAGCCAGCACTTTGTGGCGCCGCAACAACTGCGCGACAAGTATAGCGCAGTGGATTTGGGTTCAGATTCGGGATCGGATTCACTGCCACTATTGCAGCAGCTGGGCAAACACTTTGGCACCGCACGTAACATTGTACGCCAGACACTAAGCCACACGGAATATGGTCCGCTCCTTACTGAACTGGACGAGTTGGTCACTGCACAGCTGGAGCGTTGCGAGCAGCTGCGCAACCTGAACGTCGATCGGAGCAAGGAGCGTCCTCAGCAGAAGCTGCAGGCCAAGCAAATATTGCAGCAGAAGCGCAAAGCCTTAACCGATCTCTTCAAGCTGCTCACGCGACTGGGCATTAGCTACAAGTCCGGCCTGATGGAGCTCTCGCTGCGCGGCGAGTTTGAGAACTTTGAACTGGCGCCGTTTTGCATTGAGGCAATGCTGCCCCAACTGCACTCCAGTGGACGACAATTCAATCAGCAGCTGGATCTTTACTACATGAAGAGCGTATTCAAGTTGAAGCTGCTGCAGAACATTATGCTTACACCGCTCTCAGAGCTGGGACCACCCAACATCGAGCGCATCAAGGGTTTCGCTGTGGATCTGTTTCTTCACGTGCAGCAGCAGCGCGAACAGTTGTCCACTGCCACCCGACAGTTGCATGAGTTGCGCAATGCCCTCCACCAGTTGCGCCACGTGGCTGATATTGTGATGCCGACGGAGGCAACCATTGAGCAGCTCAGCTTCTCGCGCAATGCGGACGAGTGTGTGCAGTTGAAGCATAAACTCTGCCAAATACAATACGTCCTCCGGCAGTGGCAACTGCTGCTTCAATGTGCACCATTGCAGGCTACCAACGAGCACAGTGTGCTGCTTCCCAGTCAGACACTTCCTCAAGCCGAGCTGCTGGAGCTGTGTGGCGTGATCTTAAGCGGCAGCCAGGCATTGCTGTTTGAACTCGAGCGTGCGTCTTTGGAGTTTCTGGACAGCAATAAACTGTCTATATATCTGCGCAGCTACCAAACAATTTTGGACAACATGCAAAAGACCTTGGCCCATCTTAATGCTGGTCATGAGGAGCATTTGCCGTTGGCACAGCCGCTGCTGGCACTGCTTGCTCAACTGGAAAGCAACACGGCCTGTGATGTGTCATCCGGTGAGCCCGTTGAGCTCAACAATGTGGATGCGGAGCTAGCAAACATAGCTCACGGTGTGCTGCTGGCGCTGCAAAAGATTTACAAGCAGCATGGCAAGCAGGAGGAGAAGCAGGAAACCGAGGAGGAGGACAGCCTCAAAGAGCAGCATCTAAAGCAGCATTTGACAGGTCAATTGAATGCCGACTGGCAGCTCTTGAGGATGCCACGTACGCTAAGCAAGCTGTCCAATGTGCTCCTGGTCCTAAAGCATGCCAATCCTAGCGAGAAGCAACTTATTTGCTTGCGGCGAGCTGTGGCCTTATTGCCAATTCTGGAGCAGTATCAACTGTTGGCGGATTATGTTCTTCTACAACATCTGGGTACGCATAAGGTCTCAGCGAAAATGCTTTCAATTATGTTGACCGCATTCGTGGAGATTGGCAGCAAGGGTTTCTGTGTGCCACCAGATCTAATGCAGGACGAGGAGGGTCAGTCCAAGCAGGACTCAAAGAATGGCGAGGGCTTTGGTCTAGAAGATGGCACCGGCGAGAATGATGCGTCGGATAAAATAGAGTCTGAGGATCAGCTGGATGATGCCAAGCGCCCGGAGGACCGCAAGGATGAGGGCGACAAAGAGGAGCCCGACTGCAAGGAGGAAAAGGGTATTGAGATGAGCGATGATTTCGATGCTAAAATGCAGGACGTGGAGAAACCAGAAAACGAGGAAGATGACAGTGGTGAGTCTGAAGATGAAGATGAGCTGAACAAGGAAATGGGCGAAACAGAAGAGGGCGCTGAAAAGCTCGACGATCAGATTTGGGGCGATGATGAGGAAAAGCAGCCCGAAGAGGAGGAGCCCGACATGAATGAAGAGGATCAGGGAAAGGGCACCAAAGATGAGAAGGATGACCATAACGATCTGGACACCAAGAACGATGCGGCAAAGGAGGATGGTAAGGACGAGCACGAGAAGGATGCCCTCGATGCGACAAGCGAGCCAAGTGGCGAGGATAAGCGTAAGGAGCAGGCCAAGGATATTGATGATATGAAAGAGCCAGAACTAGATGAGGAGCAAACGAATGCCATGCACAATGAACTCGAGGAGCCACCAGAACCCGAGGAAATGGATTTGGGCGATATGAACAACGTCGACGAAGGTCACGACAAGGACGCCGACGAGCCAAATGATGAGAATCCTTTTGATATCGACGCCATGAAGGAAAACATGCAAGCAGCCGATGAGCCCGATGAGGCAGACGCCGACGAAGAGGAAGCTAAGGAGAGTCAACCCGAGTCGGATGATAGCGACTCCGAGGCTGAGGAAGGCGGCACTGAAAATGAAACCACTCAAAATGCCAAAGACAATGCTGAAGAGGAAGAAGCTTCTGCCGAAGATGAAAAGGAACAGGAAGAGCCCGAAACCCAAACACGTGGTGAATTAAATAAAGAAGAGGAAGAGCAGGAAGAACCACCTGTCGAGCCAGAGGCACGTGAGGAGAAACCAGAGGAGCACGCACAATCCAAGGACAAGTCCAGCAAGGAAGACAACGTGCAATCCGTTCCCGATACCGAGCAGAACAGCTCAGCAGAACAGATGCAACAACAGCAGCAAGATGAAAATATCAAACAGGAGCAAAAAATGGACGAGCAGGAGACGGGCGAAGAAAAGGATGGCGTTGGACAGGCCGAAAATGATGTAAGTTTGAATCAATTGAATGCGAAGAGTTTTTCTATTTATAATCATTTGTATTCCAGACAAACGATGGAGGCCATCAGGGCGTAGCCGAGACTAAGGAAACAATCTCCCAGGAAGAACGTAAAAATGAAAAGCAAACTCAGGAGAAGCGTAAACAAGGACGCACCAATGAGGAACGCACTTTAGGTAGCTATAAATATATACACACACACTCTCGATACGAGTCTCTAATTTGAATACTCTTCACAGGAGAAGCGGAGCAGACCAAATTAAAACAGCTCAAGACAATCGACCAAATGAAAGAGTCCAAGCAAAATGAAAACGAGCAACAGGATCAAACGGACGAAAATGTTGAGGCCGATGAATATCAGCATGTCAAGGATCCAAAGAGCAGCGATAAGACAACGTTGGACAATGCCACAGAGGAGCAGTCCAAGCAAATCAAACATCAAGAGGAAGAAGAGGCGACAGAGGAGGAAAACGCAGACGTGGAAAATGCAGATGAACTAATGGCCGACGAAGAACCAACAGCGCATGAGGAGGAAGATGCTCAACTAGAGCAGCTTAGCTGTGAAAAAACTGACCAAAAGTCTGAGAAACCCTCGAAGACAGAGCAAGCCAAGGAACGCTTGGAAACACCGGAGCAAATGGAAATCGAGGGCGAGGTAGTGCCCACAATGACGGTTCCACGCAGCACTGAAACCACTGCGCACAGCAAGTAATGCCACATTATAATGCCGTATAATCATATACAATTGTAAATTATAAACAATTATATTTGTAGTACGGAGTTGCTGCTGGACAAGAGCACACTGGCTCAGGAGCTGAGCACAACCGAGCAAATTGAACTACGCCAAATGTATCAGCAACAGTTGACCAGCTCTAATGCCGTAAGTTAAATCTATATAGATTAAATTAAGAGAATTGCTAAGCACAATAAATATTTTGTAGATATTACCGCATCACGAGGATTATGAGAGCTGGTCCAGCATATCAAATCGCATGACCCAAAATGCTCGAGAGCTATGCGAACAGTTGCGTCTGATATTGGAGCCAACGAAATGCACACGCCTCAAGGGTGACTATCGTACAGGACGTCGCATCAACATGAAGAAGATTATACCGTATATTGCGTCTCAATTCCGCAAGGATAAGATTTGGTTGCGTCGCACGAAACCGGCACAGCGTGACTATAAAATAACAATTGCCATTGACGATTCCAAGTCGATGCATCATAACAATTCCAAGACCCTGACACTAGAGGCAATTTCTTTGGTGTCACAAGCGCTGACACTGCTGGAGAGTGGCCGCCTGAGTATTGTCTCGTTTGGAGAAGCGCCGCAAATAATTCTGAACCATACGGAACAGTTTGATGGACCGCGTTTGGTGAGCGCCCTCAACTTCGCTCAAGATAAAACCAAAATCGCGGGTCTTCTCGACTTTATACGCACCGTGAACATCGAGGAAAGCGGTCTTGGTGGTGATAATGGACTATTTGAGAATCTGCTGCTCATATTGAGCGATGGTCGAAACATATTCAGTGAGGGCAATCAGAAGGTCAAGAATGCCATTAAATTGGCACGACTGCAGCGTATATTCCTCGTTTATATTATCATCGATAACCCGGAAAATAAGGTACACATTTTAAATATACTCGAATTATGGTTGTTTCTAATGTATAACATTTGCTCATGCAGAATTCCATTCTGGACATACAGCACGTGGAGGTAAATGCTGATGGTTCGGTCAAAATTAACTCATATTTGGACAGTTTTCCCTTTCCGTACTATGTGATTGTACGTGACCTAAACCAACTGCCACTGGTGCTAAGCGAAGCCATGCGACAATGGTTCGAATTAGTCAATAGTGAATAATAAGTTAGTTTTTGTATATAGTCAGCATATTGGACGCAGTTGAGCCAATATTCTATTTTGACAAACTTGTACACATTATTTTAGGCTTAAGTGCAGAGTTCGTAATACCATTTTCTTTTCTTTTATAGTAAGAACAAAAATAGATCCTTTCAATACATTGAACAATTCGTTTGTATATTGTATATAAATATATATATATATGGTTGACTTATTTACAATTGAATATGAATTTTTTTTCAGACATATGCAAGTTATATGTAATTGTTAGTGCAATACTACTTCTAACTCAAAAGGATATTCTCTTGAGTTGAGACCTTGTCTGAAGAGCTGTGTATGCTGCCAAGCCACGTCACCTTTGCCACCGCTTAATTTGGCTACAATCTGGAATTCACTGGCGTTTTCGATGCACTGGTTGCCATCGTTGGTTTCCACGCTCACAATTATTTTGCCCTCGCCAAAGGTTTTCGTTTCGAAGATAAGTTTATAGGATTTCACCTTAAGATTTGTTTTGGTTAAATTAAATTTCCAAATGATTTCAGCGCTGTCCGTATCCTCTGCAAAAAAAGAAACGATTTTGTTAGTTTTTGATGAATGGTTAATTAGTTAGGGGGGGTTTACCTAAGCGCGCCAAATAGGCCATTTTCCAGTCACGCTCTACCTTGCGAAAAATATTCTTCGACGCAAATTGAGCACTCTGCCATGTTTTGTATGTCTCGAGCACGTTCACCCGTTCGCCATCTATCAAAAGAAGATAATCGATCGTCAGTGCGAATAGATAACAATTTTGGGCCACTAATGTGGCCTGGTCTGTTAAATACCTTTGGTATATCGTTCGTACATATCGTTGGCACAGCTGTAGCGTAGATTTAACTGACGCCGCTCCAGCTCGGTGTCGTTTGGCGTGAATACGAAAATCTGCAATTAAATAATCATGATCATGTAGACAATTAAGCAGGCAATTACATTGGCGCGCTGCTGCTGACTCACATTGGTGAATGTGTGTTCACCTCGCGACTGTCGCCACGACAAGCTGCCCGAGCTTCTGCCCTTCAGCTCACTCTCCGTTGGGGTGCTGTGCAAGTTGAAAATGTGTTAAGAACAGCTTTAGCTACAACAACAAAGAACAACAAAAAGAATCAATGCATACCGTTCCACGGTCATTGAGATGACCTCGAACATGTTACGCTGGCTTAGGAACTTTTTGCGTTCGACAGTTGCGAATTGCTGACGCTTTGTTCTAATCATATTCAGCGTATCGATGAGCTCTTTCTCAGTGCAGAGTTTACGTATCTGCAGTATTTGCTGATGATTGTTGGTATATCGCCAGGTCACGTCCTGTGCATCATCGCGGGAGTAGCCAAATACATAGTCAATGCTCCGCTTCCAGCCATGCTGATACATCAGCGGCGAGTCCACCACATTGTCCGATGGATCGACATGCAGCCAGCGCATTTGCGTCTCTGAGTAGACCTCAGTCCACACATGATCGAAGTGGGAGTGCACTAACCGCGCATCGTAGTCCAGACAACGGCATAGGAATGTAAAACAATTGGCGAACTCCCCGCAGCGCCCCTTGCGCGATACCAAAAGCTGCGAAATGTCATTGTAGCGATGGAATTTGGTTTCTTGGCCACAACAAAAGGTGACCTCGACACGGACTTCACCCTCGGTTTGGGTACGACGCAATTTGCCATCTTCACTGCCGCACACCTGACACGGTATGTTATTGACCCACTCAAAGAACTCCGTCTTAAACCAATTAACGAGTTCCACAAGCAACAAATCACGTATGCATGGCTCCTTTTCTTGACACTCGCCTGAGCAGATCAGCTCCTGCATGGCGACGAGCTTACAGCTGGCATTTGTTGTCAGCTCATCAACGGGTATTAGACTGCGACCGGTGGCCAGCAGCGCCTCATCCTCGTACTGCATAACGGCATCGCTGTACAATTCCAGAGACTGCAGGAATCGGTTCGGTGTGCGCTAAACATGAAGGTGGATCATTAAAAATTGTTATTTGTATGTCAATTATTTACCCTAGTCGCTTATTTGAAATATAGTGTAGGTTCATTAGTTTCTTCATTTTTTGTACGTTCAGCAATCAGAATAATTTGAACAATGGCCTAATACAAATATACTATACATAAATTATAATTGTATACTAACCAGCACTCGTGGAAAGGTAATGCGTTGTTTATAGGGCACTGAAGGTTGAATGAACAAAGGCGTTGCACATACAGCTGCCATTTCGCGGCGTGATGTTGACACAGGCTTTGCATGAGCATTAAATGGACCTAGAAAATAGGAAAAAGAAAAAAACATTTACACATCAATTGAAATGATTAAGATAAATATCTGATTTAGTTACTTTTTGGAATTGCGCCGTTTAGCCATGCCTCCCGCCGCTTGCTTAGGACGTCTTTGTATTTTTGTATTTGCTGCAGCGGCACCTCGCTTGGCAGCGTGTACACGTTGGAGCTTGGCGTGCGTCTGAAACCGATTGCAATGAGCAGCGGCTCGCTGCCTGGCAATGAGAGCAGTTTCTCCTTGATCGCCTTGTTCTCCAGACGTATGGTGCGAAACTTGAGGTTATTTGGCTGACTGAGCACATTCTCCAGCAAGACGAGCAGTATGCGAGCCGCCTCCAGATACTGTTGTTGCTGTTGCTCTGTGGATGTCGCCCGCTGTGGCTCAATCAGCTCCACGCATTCTAAGTTAATGTCGACCATGTTGACGAAAGCACGGCGCCTATCAAATAAGTCGCAATGCCGCTTTCGATTTCGGGTGGTGTTGTGTGTTGTGGTTGGGTGGGTGGCTGTAGCTAGACTAGAGAGGAGCTATTTGTTGTGAAAATATATCGAAAGCGTTTCATTAATTAAACAAAGAATGTATATTGCACATTAAAATCAATTAAGAATTAAGAACACAAAACAACAACAAACACAACAACTCTAGATCGGCGGCTTAGGCAGCTGTTTTCCTCCATCGCTTATCGATAGACATTGGCATTTGGCATTTTCTGTTTGGTATTTTTGTATGAGGTGGCAACGCCAATTCAACGGCGAGTTTCAACCACTTTTGAAAAAAGTAGGCGTCGGTTCAATTGTGAAGCGTCAGTCATTGTGTGAAGTTTGCGCAGCGGAGAATTTGTTAAGACAAAAAACTACATTCGTCTCTTATATTTCCTTAAAAGGTAATAAATTCAGTCTTTCTTTGTGCGTGTGCGTCGTCTGAGCTGAAGTCTGTACATCGACATCGACATCGACGGCAGTCTGAGTTTGTCATTTCAAGTGTACATATTTTGGCGTGTGCCTTTTCTCATCTCTTTCCCACAGAAAACTAATAAAACATCAGAATAATGTGTGACGAAGAAGTTGCTGCATTGGTTGTCGATAACGGTTCCGGCATGTGCAAAGCCGGCTTTGCCGGTGATGACGCACCACGCGCCGTTTTTCCATCAATTGTCGGTCGTCCCCGTCATCAGGGCGTAATGGTCGGCATGGGCCAGAAGGACTCTTATGTGGGCGATGAGGCGCAGTCGAAGCGTGGCATCCTCACACTCAAATATCCCATTGAGCACGGTATCGTGACCAACTGGGATGACATGGAGAAGATATGGCATCACACCTTCTACAATGAGCTGCGTGTGGCACCTGAGGAGCATCCCGTCCTGCTGACCGAGGCTCCCCTCAATCCCAAGGCTAATCGCGAGAAGATGACTCAGATCATGTTCGAGACATTCAACACGCCTGCGATGTATGTAGCCATTCAGGCTGTGCTCTCCTTGTATGCCTCCGGTCGTACTACTGGCATTGTTTTGGATTCTGGTGATGGTGTTTCACACACCGTGCCCATCTATGAGGGTTATGCCCTGCCACATGCCATTTTGCGTCTGGATTTGGCTGGTCGCGATTTGACCGACTATCTGATGAAGATCCTGACCGAGCGCGGCTACTCGTTCACCACCACCGCTGAGCGTGAAATTGTGCGCGACATCAAGGAGAAGTTGTGCTATGTCGCTTTGGACTTTGAGCAGGAGATGGCCACCGCCGCTTCCAGTTCATCGCTGGAGAAGTCCTATGAGCTACCCGATGGACAGGTCATTACCATTGGCAACGAGCGTTTCCGCTGCCCCGAGGCTCTGTTCCAGCCCTCATTCCTGGGTATGGAGGCATGTGGTATTCATGAGACTACCTACAATTCAATCATGAAATGTGATGTCGATATCCGTAAGGATCTGTATGCCAACACTGTGCTCTCCGGTGGCACCACAATGTATCCAGGCATTGCTGACCGCATGCAGAAGGAGATCACAGCTCTAGCTCCGTCCACCATGAAGATTAAAATTGTTGCGCCACCAGAGCGTAAATATTCCGTCTGGATTGGTGGCTCCATTTTGGCCTCTCTCTCCACATTCCAGCAGATGTGGATTTCGAAGCAGGAGTACGACGAGTCTGGCCCATCCATTGTTCATCGCAAATGCTTCTAAGTTGCAAAAAAAAAAGAAAAAGAATGCTGCAGCCGTTGGGCGTGGTTCTGTCTGCTACAAGCCTCCTACCCAAAAAAAACTGCCATTGATTTCCATTCAGACAAAGGGCAAAGGGTGGATAAAAAAATACCAACAGCATGGCGAGACAGGACATGCACCAACAGAAATAGCAACCAAATCAACAGCAACAAAGATAAACTAATCTATTTTTTTTCTAACAATTTTATACGAAGTCATACCACATACACTATTACACATAAGCAATAAGCTCTTTTTTATGTTCTATCAAAATTCACGAGTTCATACGCACACATTGGTATTATAAAAGTAATCATATTTGGCATTAAACCTCCTCAAGCATTCCAACATGTATCGACATATATATGTAATACACATACCCAAAAAAATATGAAAACTAAAACGTATTTGTAACCGCTTCAAAACAATAAAAAGCGATGAAGAACTGAATATGGCTAAACGACTTTTTTTATGTCTTATTAATATAGTTGTTGTTTCTGTTATAACCTGAACTGATTAAAAATAGGGAAAATGGGTATGATGAAGTTGTGCAAAAGCATGTCAATGGCAGAAGGACATAAAGTATATATTCTTGATCAGGATTAACAACTTAGTCGAACTAGGCGAAGCGTGTTTCATTTTGAATACATTAGGCCTACAATATTGTTGTATCAAAACCCTTAGTACTGGGTATTTCCTAGTTGAGCTTTCTTGGTTATAGCATTCTAACTAGTTTCATGCTTCAAATGACTAACACTTAAAACTCATGGAAATAATATTTGTCATCGCGCGAGCGTTGACGATAAGGCGCTTACTAATGCTGTGTTAAGCAAATATCGGTTGATATTTTCCTAAAAATAAACAAACGACTTCATACAGGCACGTACATATTTTGCAGGAAGTCTTTGATAAACAAATGTTTAATTCATCTCAACTGCCACTGTTGTTTGTGTGGCAAATGCGGGACAAGTTTCAGCAGCGGTCATCGTTTGGTGGCTTATCAGCGGAACGGACCGCACCCCTTGCCGGCATACTTCACATGATCGATTGCAAACACCAAAACAGCTGTTGGCACTATCGTTTACCTTATAAGGCAATAATATGCACTACATATATGTATGTACATGCACGGCTGTACAATCGTAGTTTGTGCCCGAATTAATCAACAACTGCAAAATCGAAAACAATAGCGAGCAGCCAGTCAACGCTCTGCATGACTGACTCACCCACAAACATTGGAAAACGGAATCGTCATCAAGTGGTATTGTGTGTTATTTTTTGCTGTTTGCCTGCTTGACCACATGTTGTGGAATACACACACCCAGTGTCATGGAGAAGGGGGAGCGGAGTTCTGTGATAGACTGGCGAAAAAATACACAGACGACATTTTAGGCAGGGCTTTCAATGCGTTTGTTTTTGTTTTGCCTTAAAAAAAAAGTCGCATTGACCAAATTCAATCAACTATTGAACAGTTTTGTGCCTCACACGCCCAAATATGGGGCGTGGCAAACACATACATACATTTAAATGTCGCAATGTTAAGATCAAAAGCGTTTGCCTTTTAAAAATACATATATACTTGCTTATATATATCATCAAATTGTCAAATGGTTGCATATATTTTTATTATACATTTTCGAAGTACACATATAATTCAAAACTATTTTTGTATATATATATATACCATATATTTATGTGTATAGGTGTGTTTACAGAAATCGTTTATTGCAATCGTTATACATATGTTTTTAATTTACTCGCCATCAAATTTTGTGTATGTGTTTCTAACAAGCAGATTTCATACTTGCATATTTTAAATGACAACTTTCTAATTAAAATGCAAATATTCACATTTTCAAATATATTCCACAAATATTTTAAGGGTTCTTCATAAATGAACTCTCATTAATCTTAAAAGTCTGTGTCACGAACATATTTGAATACAATTGGAAATGATTATTACTTATTTTGATTACAAATGCTTTTATTTGTATTTTCGTATTTTTGTGCATTATATGTAGAAGCAAACGTATAATGGAAAGCATTTTGATATATACTAGATAAGAACACATATATAAGTACTTAAGTTAGCATTATAAAATCAGCCTTCAATTCATGCATTCTTGGTTTAGATGTACGTAGATTGGGTATTTAAATTATTTGGGTCATAATGTGTTCATAGCTGAAATCATTTTTATTGCACTTCTTTCAAAACTGAAAACAAATTATGATTGGGTTTAAAGAAAAAATTGGAATTATTAGATTTAAGTAATACTCACCAAAAAATAAATAATAATACAAATAAAAATCAAATGCACTGGAAAATAAAAAAATAAATGAATATTTTGGAACTCTTGAAACTTCCACAATTGATTTTTTTTTTTTATAAATTACGATAATAAATTTTATTTTGATGTTTTTGTTCTAAATGTACATGGATTTGTGTGTGTATGTGTTTTGTGTGTATACTTTTTAATATATAATTTAATGGTTAAAAATTACAATTAAAAGGTATAACATTAATAATATGGATTTTAATTTATTGCATTGCATTATGTAAGTGTTTTTTTTTCTTTACTAGCATTTTCTTTTGTTATTTTGTGTTTTCTTTTTTTTTTTGTTTTGCATTTTATGATTACACGATAGAGATAAAGCATATATGTCGTTGATTATGTTGAGTGTGTGTATGTGTTGTGAATATAAGGTAAGACACGTAATGTTTTAACTAAAAGCATAAATATTTAAATATCGTATATAATGGCTATATAACTAAAAGAAAAATATGCATATTTATATGAAGATCCTATATAAACTGTGACTTTATGCGTTTCGTGTATATATAAATATAATTACATGTATATATTTATATGTATGCATGAGCCACATAATTTGTAATACATGTGAAATATATATATATATGACATAAATATATATATGTATATATATTTAATCAGCGTTCAATAATAGCGCCTTATTATAAACACATCAGCGTAAATCATTGCTGTCATTGCCTTTCGCATGCATACATACGTATAGAACATATATTTAATGAAACAAAATACGTGTTGTATCGAAATGCCAATTGAATTATTACTTATACTTTCATCCTTAGCACACTGCAATCATCCTGCCCTTATAACTAAATTTTGTCTCCCTTAAACTCTAATAACATGTATTTCTATATATGTATATATATATTTATACATATATATATATATATATATATATTGATACCTAGACGTACACTCAGTCCCGTGCGGTATGTGGATACATTTTTGTTGTTGTTGTTTTGTTGTATAATGCTTTTGAAAATCTGTGCAAAACTGAAGTAAGTAACTAAATAAGAATTGTCCGTGTTGGGATGCTGCTCATTCTTCGATTTTGTTGCTTTGCTCTGCTTGACTGGCAGCAGCACCGGGCGCCACTTTATTGCAGCTGCCGCGTTTGCCAGCGGGCGCATTAAGCTTTTATCAGTAAGCCTGTGCCTCCTTATAATCGCTCTGGTCGGATGTATAGAAGTCCTCGAGCTTCCATTGCAGAGTCTCGAATGTGGGTCTGCGCATGGGATCCTTGTGCCAGCACTCTAGCATTATCTCGTACAGACGCTGCTCACAATTGGGTGGCATGGGCATGCGATAACCATGCTCAACTTGGGTTAATACTTCGGCGTTGGTCATGCCTGCAATTTGATGGGTCACGAATAATAAGTAATAAGTTTTGTAAATTTCGGATTAGTATAACTAACCTGGATAGGGTATGCGTCCATAGGTGACCAGTTCGGTGAGCAAAATGCCAAAGCTCCACACATCCGATTTAATAGAGAATTTACTATAATTGGCCGCCTCCGGCGCTGTCCATTTGATGGGGAAGCGTGCACCTACACGTGCCTCGTATTCATCCTCTTTGATGAGTCTGTTACAAGAGCAGAAAATAAATATTGTTATACAAGTTTTCTAGCTAAGTTGGTTTTGTATTCAGTACTTACCGGGCCAAACCAAAATCGGCAATCTTTACGATATTCCCATCGCCAACGAGCACATTACGCGCCGCCAAATCCCTGTGTATGTAGTTTTGTGACTCCAAATAGGCCATGCCAGCGGCTATTTGGGCAGCCATATCAATCAGCGTTTGCATTTTGATACTACGCAATTTGCCTGCAATTGCTAAAAAAATTAAAAACACATACATAAATTTTTTAATGGCAGATGATTGAAGCGGTGCGGTTTGGTTTATGCACAAAATGTTTGTACAAGTTGTTAATTAGTTAATGACAGCGTTTTTTATGCGTTTTGTAATATTTGTTTTAGTATACCTTGCAGATATTCCAAGAGGGAGCCGTGTTTCATGAGCTCTGTAATAATATAGATGGGCTCCTCGACAGTGCAGACCGCATACAGCTGAATTAGTTTGGAGTGGCGCAGTTTCTTCATGATTTGAGCCTCGGCCAAAAAGTCCTTGGGGTCCATTGTGCCTGTAAGTTGGAATATAGAATTCAGTAAAGTGTGGATATACATTGATATTCCTCCTCTTCTTACCTGATTTAAGGGTTTTAATGGCCACGGGTGTTGTGTTGTTCCACAGACCCTCCCAGACATCGCCAAACTGTCCTGAGCCCAGTTTGCGCACGAATTTCAACGAAGTTCTGTCGATTTCCCATTGATCGCGTGTTCGATGCGATAAGCCCTCGGTAACAGGTTTCTCGATCTGAGTAAAACTTACAAGATTAGTGTGTGTTTGATAAAACATTGCAGCATTTGGGGAGTTATTTTTGTCTATGGTGTGTGCTTATAGACTGGTTTCAATGATTGTGCCAATTGAGAGATGGTTAAATGTGGCATACATTTAGGCATTATGTACAAATTTCGTATTTGTTTGTTTATTGTGTGGGTAAGTCAAGCAGAGTTGTTGTCAAGATTAAGTTTAAATAACGTTGTAATTTGGCTGCGAGATGGTGGTCCTAAGTCAAAGTACAAGTGTAATTTGTTGAAATACATTAAATTAATTTGATTTTGAAATTTATATAAATATATATATATATATATTTCATATTATTTTGTACTTTTCCAAATTATAGACCCATAGAGCGCATGAAATTTGAAGTTGCATTCGTAGAAATATATACATTCCTTTTTTAGCAAAAATTAGTCACGCGATTTTGTAATTGCAAAATATATATGAGTATAATCATACACACCGTGAAGCAATTTTCATTTGAAGTTAAGTTCAGAACGTTCACCATGCCGTTATTATAGCTTATATGCATTTATAATATCTTGTGTAATTACGGCATGGAAAAGTGCTAAAAATACTTTATTAATTATTTAATATTTATGAAATGAAATCAGACATCAATCAGATAATATAAACTAATTAATTTAACTGCTCATTTTATTTTTTTTATAGCATTTATGGGTTAGTCTAAAATTGCTCTATTTCATTTTGAATAAATTATTTTTTGGGGATTTTTGTTTTGGCTGCACATTGTACTTTGACTATAAGAGTTTTTAATGAAATGAATGGGTTATTATTTTTGGCGTAATTGTGTTTTTTTTTGGCAGTAGCAAACACACACACACACAGTAAGTTGAGTGCTTAAATACAAAATCCTACCTCAAAAATACCCGAAAATGAATTTGTCTTTTATTTGTTAGTATTTGTTATTTTATATAATTTCGTTAGTATATTAATTAAAGATAAAAATATAAAAAAAAAAAAAACATTTTAAAATCGGTTTCGTTAAGTATACGTACAAAAGAAATGAAACAATGAGAATTGACTATAACAATGTTGATGTAATGTAAATGCCATGTTAATAATGTTAGCGCGACAGAAATATGGAATGTTAAATGCGTGTTAAGTGCATGTTAAATGTATGTACGAATAAACAATAAGTCTAACAATGAGTTCATAAATAATTTTTAAGGAAGTCGGCTTACCTGTACACAGGGTTTGCAGAGATTAACGCATAGGCCATCGGAATCCTTGGAATAGTGCTCGACCAGCTCTTGTAGGGTTCTGATTTTTTTGTGAATAGAGATGAATGTTTGTTAGTTGAATGTTTAAAATGTTGAAAGAATATTCGTCGACTGCTCACCTGAATGTTGTGCGTCTGGCAATGAAGAAGCCGCCCTCATCCAATTGTCTGATGCGGTAATGTTTAACCGTATCGCCATCGCGAACTGCAATATGCAATTATTTAAGTATTTAAATTATTAAGTATATAAGTAAAATATATATATATTGAAGTGAACGACATTTCGTATGCCTTTTATAGCACCCACCTGATAGCGAGTAGTCATTGTGACGGCTTTCGGAATCGCGTATTAAAAATGCGCCGTGCTCGTTCTCTGGCAGTAGCAGTTTTTTCTCAGCCTCAATGCGTTTGATTTTGCGGAAGTACCAGCTGCAATTATAAACAACAACAACAAAATTAAGGAAATTGTCGTTAGTGAAATGGATGTAAATGCATTTAAAATTGTTTAACGATAGTCTCATAAAATTGTAGGTTTTATTAAGGAAACTATAAAAGCGAGGCTACAAAAATTTACATCGATCGGGTTGCATCGAAAGGAGGCATGTGCGCGGGTGTTCCCCTTTTTATTTCATTTTTGTTTATTTGCAGATACAATTTAATTGAGTCATTTCACTCAGCTATAACTTTACAATAATAATAATAATAGCTATACATTTTCGGAACGTGTTAAATTCTATTTTCATTTTTTTATATTTTATTATATATGTTTGTTACGCGAAATTAAATTATTATGCAATTAATTGAATCTGAAACGTGCACAATTTATTTAAATTATCTTCTCACTTTTCAATTATTAACGCTTTTTTTTTATCGAAGTTGCAAATGTTTTGTAATTTATGAACCATTTTTATACTATGCATTAATTCATTTAAAATATGGCTTTTTTCTTTCTCATTTTTAGCGACAAAAATATGCATAAATAAAAGCATTTTAAATTCAACTTTAATTGTGCTTCCGAATCGAGAATTGCGGAACTTGCTGAAGCATTATTTGTTTTATTTATATTTTAATTTTATATTTATGGGAGGTGAAGTTTGATAGTTGCTGGGTAATTATTAATTTGAATTAATTCGAGAACTATAATAAATCAGTTCAGTTTCATATGTATTATACATAAAAAATTACCAATGAGCAAGCAGCTAAATCTAGGCATATCTTTAAAATATTATGAATTTATATACTATAGGAGTCTTTCGCTGTTAAATCCTTAACAATTCAATTATGCACGCATATAACATGAGTCGAATTTTGTTAGCAGTTGTCAAAAGTAGCTTTTCTGCCATTAACATTGACCTTAATAAAATAGTAACTGATATTTTTGTTTATCTCTACCTATCTTTCTCTATGCTCTCATACCTTAAGCAACTGTTGATACAATTAAAGAGATTTTTGTCGTTATATAAGCGAAACGAATTCACATTTTGAAGTTCGTGACAACAGGGCAAAGATGACAAAGCATAGCCAAAATGTGTCATATCATAAAAATGCATGTAAAACAAACATAAACAAAATATGTTCATCCTTACAGTTACATTGCAATAATTGACACACACACACACACACACTCATTTGCATATATATATATATATATATATATATTCACGACTTTAGTATAGTCAACTTTTATGTGGGCTATGTAGAAACGAAGCCATTTGCGATCTTTTGTCTAAACATTAAAATGCTGGTTTTATGCACCCCTCACGATTTCGCTGCCGACCACTAGATGGCGTCAATGCGATAGAGGAAACTCATCAAGCAGCAGCAACAGAAGCGGCATCAACGTAAAACATTTTCTAGGCGGACAAAACTTTTCATTTCAATGGATACGACAGCAACAACGGCACAAACCTCGACAGCTGTGGGGCGTATGAAGTCTTGAAATGTGGTCCAAGTGGAGAGGAGTGAATAACAAGAAATAAAAATAAATTTCCTGCGAACAAGGACATGCCCATATAGATGTACACAGACAAAAAATCCAAGGCTTTAAATATTATTTTCTCGATTTAAGTATAAAAAATATGTAAAGATTAATAAATATAAATACTTGTTAGCTTAGCTGAAGTAGGAGTAGCTCATGAATATTAATATAGATTAAATACAGAGTAAACGTCAAGAATTCCACAGTTTAATGAAGTAATTTTAGCTGGGCAGTTTAGAGACAGTTGGATTTAACGTACTTTTAAATCTAAAACGCAAATTTCTTAATTTTTTTTATGTGTATGTGTTTACAGAGCACATATGGGCATACAAATACCAGGATAATAGCTCTTGTTTGGAATTCAGTGCATGCACGGGAATAACCAAGCCTGAAAGATAAAATACCAAGTTCCCACACAGGATTTGCAAAAAATTAAAGAGAGTCAGTGGACTGCTTGCTCCTAGCTTTAGCTGCCAGTTTCAGCTGCATGCGAATAGGGTAAGAAAGTAACTTAAACAGTGGTTTGAAGTACTTAGGCCACAAAATATGTTCAACACAACGAAAAACTAAAGAATTTTAAACAATACTTATATAGTAATAAACTACAATTCATAAATGATTTGCATATTGTTTTTTCCATCAAATATAAATATGAATACCCTATATCTACATTTACTGGGTATACAAATATGCACAGCAATTGGCAAGACAGGACTGGATGCGATTCTAGATGGTCTTCATGGTGCATGCACAGCTCGCAAATGGCATTTGCCAGTTCTATTGAATTTCACTTTGGCTTAGAATGCAAACAAACTGGGAACAGAGAGGCGACAGGCGATGGGAATGAGTTGAGTTGAGTGCGTGTTGATATTCCTTTTTATTTATTTTATTTTCTTTTTTGTGTGGTTACGGCCTAGAGCCATTTAGTTAGCTGGTATTCAACGGACAAAACTGCAAGTAATCTGATTGCGCAAATACCATTTAAAGCTATTATTAAAAGAATCTTGTGCCTCGCACTCGGACTCAGACTCGGACTCGAACTCGATTTCAACTCAACTCGACGCGACTCTTAACTTGGCTGGCACTTTTAATTGGCTGTCTGCCGCTAGCGATGCCAGGACGGCAAAGTTAGGGGAGTTGTTGTTGTTGCTGTTGTTTAGTTGATTAGCACATGCTGCAGTTGTCATCAACCAAACGGTTGTCTGCCATTTCCATTTCCATCATCATCATCACCATCATGAGCTTTTGCAACAAAGTTGAAGCTGATCAGTAATTTGCCCGTCAACAGTCGGCCGAATGCCATGGAAGGGGCAACATGGTTGCTACTTTTGAATGGGAGGAACACCATCAAGTGCATGCACTTTGATTAATCAATCAATCATATTAATATAGCAGTGAATGCGTATGCTCCAACGGAGCACGTGTCCATTATGCCAATGGCCATTTATTAGACGCCATTACAGCTCATTTTTCTGTTTGCTGTCCAGGGTAAGCCAAACAACTGGCCCATTATATTTAGCCTATTTATAGATACAACGATTGAGGGCCGTTTAAGTTGTGGGCATGACTTTCATAAATATGCAACACTTTAATTACATACACTCCAGGCCTCAAAGCCGCAGCCATGTTAGGTGGCAAATGTGCAGTGAAACCACTGCACCAATGCCAGCTGTAGACGACTATGAAGTAATCTTAGGAACATTCTAGCTATCCAATAAAAATTTAAGTCACATTTTAGACAATTTGGCTTTTTAAATGAAAATTGAGATCTTCAAGATTAAATTGCTTTTATTAAACATTGTGAAATGAGTATCTGCATGTATAAGCGAATATATACAACAGAAACATAGTTTCTTGTGTTCATATCTTTAGTAGTTCTATTCAGCTCTATCTCTCTTTGCTCAGACATATATGTTATATATATTATGACCAAGATTGCAGTGCATACGCAGAGCGTAACATGAAAAATTGTTGTAGAAAAAGTGTAGTTTTATTTATAGATTGTTGGTTGAGTTTGCTACAACCAAAAGGCAACACACACATATTACGAGTTGGCCAAAATCAAATGTGTTGCGGCAAGGCGCAAGCGTAGCTTGGCTAGTTGCTGTTGGCGACTGAGCCGCAACTATTTTTAAACAACGCAAACGCAACGTAATGTCTAAAAATATACACAAGCTGCTGCTGCAACAAACAGCGAGCCAAAGATACTTGCTGCATGTTTTGGTCGCTTTTTTTTTTGCTTTTGTATTTCTTAGCTATTTACAATTTTCTACAATTTTTCTACGCCAGCCATGGTTTGGTGGCTAGTTTTTGGCCATGGATACTGGAACGACAAGCGAGCATCGATGGCTATGCGGTGACTGTTGTTGTGGTTGTTGCTATTGCCACTTGGTTGGGGCCAACATGTTTGGCTTGTTTTGGCTGCTAACTTAATTGCGGCGCTGCATTTTATGCACCAACAAGGCGCTTGACATGCACTTTGGAGTTAAAATTAATTAGATGCAGCAACCTGACCAAAATACCCAGAGACGAAGACGCAATTGCAGCAGCCAGAGAACTGTGTCCGGTCTGCACTTTGCATATAAATTGGCATATTGAGAAGCATACGGCTTGGCTCACATCTTCATGGGGCCTGCTCCAATTTGCCTAGCCAAAACACACTTTGACGTGCCCACTTGAGCGTTCCTGCTCGCTATCTGGATACCAGTGATTGACACTCTCGGCTGTATGTGAATGCCAGTCTGTTTACTTGGCTATTTTTTTCATTTATTTTCACCGTGCCCAATTCTAGACAATTGAGGCACAAATTGTGCCAGTCCAGACCAGGCCAGGCCACTAACTAACTTTGGCAGCTAAATCCAATCCAAGCAACGGTTTGGACGTTCCACTGTCAATTGTTAAGCGGCTGCCCCAATTGCCAGTTGGCAATTGCTTGGGATTTATTGAAGCAGGTCATGACGCTGCTGCATTGTTTGTGTAATTATCCATATATTATAACCATATCTATGTGATTATTTGTATATATGCACATGTAATTTGCGCTTTCTGTTAGCGTCCGTCTGGTAAACGAGTTTTGTGAAGAAACGTCACGCATGATTCAGAGGCTGTGAATTAACTTGGATTACCTCAGAAAATTACTGACGCAGTTGCCGAGCAGGCAGATGCGTACGTAAGAGACTTGTCTCAGTGGTTGTTGTTGCTTTTGAGCCGGGCCAAAGCGAAAAGCCATCAATTTAACCACAATCAATTTGGATGTGTTCAAAACTTTTCCTCGAACACGAGGCCAATTTGTTTATTGTGTTTTGACTATTTCCATTTAAGTTTTTTCATATGCATATGTGTATATTAACATTGTTTTGTTAATGAGTGTGAAGCTTTAATTCCTGATTTGGGTTTCCACTTGTTAGCCAGTGTTTCTGTGCATATTAATTGGAGTATGTAGTTTTATTTA